CAAAACATATGTATGTAAGAGCAAGAGTGTGTGTGTGTGTGTTGGCTTCTATCTCTCTCCACAAATAGGATAGAAGCAAGTGTGGCTTAGGGGGTATGGGCGGGCAAGTGCAATGTCCGGCGTTTCAAAGGACTGGAGCCCGCCCTTCTCATTATCATCATCATCCCATATTCGTTATCTAAACTCAATCTCACTTCAATTAGGCATACAATGGACGCGCATAAAAGCGCTAAATTAGCAAGGGCTGGGGGGGTAAGGGGTGGCGCAGGTCGCAATTGCAATGCTCTGCCTGCTTGTGGCAAGTGTCAAGTGCGGTTGTGGTAGTTCGTCAAAAAAAAAGTGAAAGAAAAAAGAGAAGAGTCTAACAATCATAATCATTTGTAATAACTACCCTTTTGCAATTGAATGCGAAATGTTTCGGACTTTTCGGGGGTTGGCTTTTTTGAACTTGGTCTGATGATGAACTTGTTGTTGTTATTCGTGTTTTGTAACCAATCTGTAAATTTTACGCCTAATTTAAGACAAATTGTTGACATAAATGTATAGCTACTGTCCTCAACCCCCACTTTCATTCGCCCTACACCCCGCTTTGCATTTTGTTTTCCACTCCCCGAGCTTCTGCGTGTATAGTACTCTGCTCTTTATTTTTTGGCTTTAGGGCTTCACAAAAGCCAACAGATTTTCATGTCATTATACACTGATTTGTTGTGAATCGGTGCGACGGGGCTGGGCCTTGTTGCTGTAGGCGTTGTTTGTTGCTAATGAAGTTGTTGTTGTTTTTGTTGTTGTCATATGTAAATAACACACAACTTAATGCGGGCGGCTTCGCATCGACAGCAGAAACAATGGGTGAAGTATTGTGGTTTAGAGACGTCAGACAGGCACTCGAAGTCCAGTAGCTTTTGCTCCTTTAAAATAGTCGCTACGATACACATTCCATCTATGAATCAGCTATCCTTAATATCAATAACTTAAAATAAAGTGGCGAGTAATTCAAAATATTCAAGCAATTCTACTTGCGGAAACTCGACAAGACAGTGTATGAGAAAAGTGAGATAATCTGTATAAAAACACAATTGTTATTGATCAAATGAACGATTTCTACCAAGCAAATTGAATAAAAAAGGTCACACTTAGAAGTTATATCATTAACTACAACCTTCATTTGTTCAATTCTATATAGACTTATCTTACGGCCACCTTATATGCTTTGTTTAAGCAAAATGTTCATGTTAGAGCAAACAACCTTCATCTTTTTTAACAAATTAGCTTGGATAAATAAATTTCTCCTCCTTTTATTTGCCTGCCGTCTTAGAAATCTTCCCTCACTTCCTTAGCGGAGTACCTGTTTGGATGTCTTTTAACTCCACAAGCTTATCATGAAAGATATCATGATTCGTTTCGGGTGTTAAGTTCGCAGACCCTTTTGTGGTAGCTTACGTATATTAAGTTTTCGGTCTGCATTATAGCCAGGTTTTTTGATTTCAATGAAGTTCTGTCAATGGGTCTGTGATATGGAAATATCTCTAATTACTATTTTAAATTCTTGACATGCAAACATAGGTTCTACTGATAGCGTTATATGGGAAGTACTTTGGCGGTGGTCACGTATGCCTTTCATATTTTTAAATGCTAAATAAAACTTGATAGGCCTAGACATCAAATAAGTTCTCTTGCAGAATTACATGTTTATATATAGACTATACTTGTAGACTTCAATAACGAGACATTTTAATATGAAAGAAATAAAATTAGTTATATTTTCTAATTATTCTGACTAAATAGTTTTATCCACCAAAGCCATTTCCAAATCTATAAACAAACATGCAAATGCACTTATTGTGGCTGATCATTTGCTTATGGCCACAAAAAACCCATTGTTGTGCAATTTCAATCCCCTCTCTAGACCACACTTTCGACGATTCGAACGTAAAAAAAAATAAACACAACTGTTTACTTGAAGGTAGGCGCCAACTGAGAAGCGGTACATCTCGAATGGCCTTAAAAGAAAAACAGTGCGACAAAATTAGGGAAATCGAATTGCAGTTCCGACGTTTCATAATTGGAGAGGTGAGCTGAAAATGTGTGTCCAAGAAATAATGCGTTTGTCTCCCTTCCAGACACTAAGCGTATATAATGTAACCTGATCAAGCCTGCGGAATCAGATATCCATATTTTGCGCGCTGTGTCTGGCCAATAAATGTGATTTCGTCTATCAAACCACCAATGTCGTTGAGCTGAGGTCCCAGGAGCTGAAGCAAAATCTAACAATTCCTGCAGACTATGCACTTGTAAGCAAGTGTCGAGCATTTTCACACAGCCAGTTAGCAGAGTCTAAACAATTACAGAGACAGGCCAATAGAATCGAGTTTCCATTTGAAACGAATTTGTCGCAATCCCACGTAGTTGACTTTTTTGTTTTGTTTTCAAAGTATATAAATGGTGCGGATTTTTTATACAATTCTTGTAATTTTCTTTAATGAATCAATAAATAAAGAAGGGGTTCTATTTGCATCTTTTAACATTTGAAATTATTGTTATTATAGATAATATTGCACAGATTTTAGACGGCTTTAAAATACTTACCCTTTCCCCAATGTTGAAACAGTTTGAAAATACTTTGTGAAGCTTAAGACCTATAATAGAGATTCTATCCAATTTTCAGATCCTATATTAAAGAGATCCTTATAACTGTCCAAATGGAAATCAAAAATTGTTTTCAATTTTAATACTAATAATACCGTTTCCAAACTCAACCAATGATCTATTTGATCAATTTTCTAAATCTTTAACAAAGTTTTTGGTTTTAAATGTGGCTTAAGAACAAATAGCTTCCTTTTGTAGTAACTAATACTGTGTCTGTACCATTTTAGATAAGAAGAGTCTCATGAATACATAAAAATTAGAAATAATGATCTAGTATTTGGCAAAGACCATAGTCGTCGGCTCGTGGGCGATTTGCGGACCAACAACCTGTCCATCAGGATGCATGGCTTTCGCGGGATGACGGAGCTAATCACAACTATATGGAGTCAAATGGCAGATCAATTGGTGTGAGACGTACATAGCCTTAAATCGAGAGACCTGACCTTGTCTTTCTGGTCGATTGCACCAGTCCAGGGCAGAAAGCGTCGACTTCACACAACTCTTAGCGGTGGTCAGTCTTTCTCTAGTCTAAGACTAAGTCTTACTATTTCTCTATTGACATACTTATGCTTTTACAGATTACCGGCGACCTTGACAGCTATCTGCCTATGTTGGAGAATCTAAGCTGCATGACAAATTGTTTTAAGTAAGGAGCTGGAAGTTAAATAGCAAATGAACACCTATTCGGACTTGAGTGATTAATGGACGATGAACCCACAATTGGCGCCAATATTGTTGACACTACTTATATATAGTTTATATATATTTTTTATGAACGTACCTCTGCATGTTTCCCACCAACAATCCGAAGAAGAATCACTTTGCAAAACAAATCGAAGCTCGCCTTCAAACTGCTTATTGTCAACTGAAGCTCTGCTTAGACAAAACATTGTATTTATTGAGCTTGCAGTCGATTTGTTTATAATTAATCGCAAACACACACACTCCATCACAGAAAAATACTGCAAAGCTTGCGTCTTTTGGATGGACGCGAAAAACTAATAGCATTGCAATGGGGGAACTTGAGCCTTAAGTGCCAATCGATAAAAAAAAGGGAGGCAATGTTTCTAAAACGATTGCTCTTGAAAACTTATATTTACTTATATTATTATGAATTAACATAGTATTTAAATCTGATATATTAAACGGAACAGAATCTTCATTTAGCCACAAGGGCAGACATTCTTATCATACATTCTTCATATCATTTGTTGTTTACATTTGGTAGTATCTGTATAATTAGACTTTCTTTAGTTGGCTTCAAATAAAATTCCCGTATTATTAAAACAATTGTTTGTTGATCGTAAAGTAGAAACCAGGAAATCAAAAATTTTATATTTTAGAAATTATTTCGAAACATGGTAATTATATTAGAAATGTGAATAAATGGAAATTGAATACCTATAATATTAATAAAATATATAGAATAGAAAGTTTTAAAAGCTCGGAAAGGACTTTGGTGGAAAAAAGGAACAGCATTTATAATATAACCAATGAATAAATACGATTTATTAGAAAATAATATACATAGCTAATTTTATAAATAAGGCAGAAGAATAAGACGGCAAATCGATGGATAAAGCGCTGAAAATGGAGAATAAACTTCGTTTATTTCCTGAATGTCAGAGAAATTGATTTCGTCCAGTTGCGTGAGTTCGACGACAGTTTCTATCAGAATATGGAAATATTTGTAAACAGACTTAAGGTTTTTGTTATTAAAAGCCAATATCTATTAGTATTGTGTAATAAGTATATGAGATGTGGTCTATGATAAATGAATATATACTTATTTATTATAAGCCCTAGAACTATTGAAGGTATTCTCGTCACCACTTGCTGTTGATTGAAATAATTGTTTGCCCGGCCAATGGCATTCAATTCACAGTTTATGAGTAGGAAGTATCTTTTGTCGTGTTGGCAGATACTTCGCTAAGCAATTTTTAAGTCAATGTATGTATATACATAGATATATGTATGTAGCATTCAAACACCACCATATCGAACTGAAAAACCATAAACTTTTTCATGTTCTTTGCTTGCGGCGTATTTTGGCAAAGAAATAATTTGTTATATTTTGCATTTTTGCCGCTGTGCCTTTTCATCAAACCCTCGCTATCCTTCTCCTCGCCCCGCTGGCTTTAACCTTAACAACAAATATGACGATTATGTCATCAGCCATGGCCAACATCATTACCAACCAACCAACAGGAGCCAGAGAAGCAGCGGCGACGGAGTTGTTTCCCACTTGACTTCCGGCTGAAGGGACTTTTGCCATATTGTGTGAAAATTGTTGGCGTTCTGCTCGCATCCCTTACCCGCCACCACCTCCACCATTAATAGGAACAGAATTGACGTCCGTGGGTCGCCCAGACAGGGGACTCGGGTTTATTTTATGATTAAAATGTTCGTCATTATCCGTTTGGAAAAATGTTACAAATTGTGTTTGTGCCTCGAGCCATGTAACACTCGTCTGGCAATTGTAGTGTACGTGTGCGTGTGTGTGTGTGTGGGCGAGGTGCACTCTGCTTTCTACCCTAGACTTAGTGTTAATTGTTTAAAAGTTTGCCGATTTCAGAGCGCATTCGAGCAGAATGTGTTGTCTTATGTTATTGCATTTTGTATATCCTGAAGACATCCGCCTTTTTTGAAAAGTGTATATGGTATATGCTAGCGGAGAAAGCAAATACTCGTAGATCGAAACATGTATTCTTTCTATTTAAGGGTGCGTTTGTCTGCAGAATGTGTTTTAGTTAGAGTATAAGTTGAGAAGCGTAACCATCTGCTGTTCCATAGTCTTCTTGAGGTCATTGATGAAGTCGGCAGTGCCGGTGACCTCATCGATATCGTCAATGTTATAGAAATCGAGGATTATGGCCAAGTCATCGCATAAATGCGACACAATACGCGCATATTGATTGTGGTAGACGCGAGCTTGTTCGGGCTCTGTCGGCACCTGTCCGGGCTGCAAGCCAAAGCCGATACTTATGGCTGCCAACTGCTCATGATATTTCACCACCAGTCTGGTCGACACCTCTTTATATTCATCCTCCATATACTGAAGGAACTGCTGGCATTCCGCTACGTGGGCCTGCAATTTGTTTAGCGATAATTTTGTAATATCGTCTAGCTGGGCCTCAAACAACACCCGGAACATTTCGGGTCCGCGATAGTTAGCCTGTGCCAGCATATGGCAGAGTTGGAAACACAAAACGGCGCCGGCCGGTGAAGAACCAACTGAGAATTACAAAAATATGACAAACATGGGTTAGCAGTCATTGCAGTTGAAGTGATTGTCTAAAATTATTTTTGTACCCACATATTGCCGGAACCTGTGCTGGCTGATCCGGTGGCGGTCCCACAGCTCCCAACATTTCGCCTTCATCCATGTCAGTGGCAGCATTACCCTCGTCGAGCTGAGCAGCGTTGACTGTACGGACACCATCGGCATTGCCATCGTTTGCAGCAGCGCCATTGTTGCCAACATCGCTGCTGTTGTTGGCAATCCTCTCAAAGAAGGCATCGCGTAAAATCAAGGCCAAGCGGGAGGCAGTTTCCATCAGCGATTCACAGAAGCTATCGTTAGCAGCTGAGTCCGGATCAACGCCATTACTGCCAGCAGCATTAGCAGCTGCGTCCTCAAAAGCCCCATTATCGTCATTATAATAAGGCGCGTTTGCCAACGCAGCAGAAGCTGCGATTTCATTGGCATTAGAAGCCAAGTTTATGTTCACACCAAAAGCGCCGTCCTCATTGGCATCAATATCGATGTCGTCGAAAGTACTACAATGTGTTCCCATATCGAAACCAGACGATAAATCGTCAAAAGCAAGCGACGGTGTCTTGCGGACGGCGCCTAAGGCCTTCGAGTTTGCGCCTAAATGGGGACTAGATACTACGTCTTCGTAAGCAGCAGGAGGTGTATCTGCAAACATAACAGAACCTGCTTCTTCAAAATCATCATGATCTGCGTCTGAAGAGAAATCAGATCCGATGCCTGCATAAGCACGAGGTGTGCCTGCATTTCCAGAAGCTACGCCTTCCATAGCAGCATAATCTGCGCCTAAATTGGCATCATATTCCTCGCCTGCATTAGCACGAGGAGCTGCGTCTATTTCGGCAGCAGAAGGTGCGCCTCCATCAGCAGCAGAGGCTGAACTTTCATCGACACCAAACACAGCGTCTATATTGATATCAGATGAGTCTCCATGAGCGCTAGAATCTAAAGAACCAGATGCTGCACCTCCTTTGTCATCGAAAGCTGCAGCAGAAAACGCGTCTAATTTGGCAAGTCCTTCATCTTCGGCTTTGGCGTCGCCATCAGATAGAGCGCCTAACAAAATAAATGTCCACATAAAGTCATATGTATACACACATACATATGTATACATCATACATATGTATGTATATAGGTAAGTCCAAAATATTTCGAAAATTAAGTAAATATTTTCTTAAGAGTTGGATAAGGCACCCGCCACGTTCGAAATGCAAGCAAATAACGCCTTTCACATAATAATGATGGCTTACATTTAACGTTTAAATTGAATTATAATCGTATGCCTACGGCTTGAAGCGGATGTTTTAAGATTAACATTTTCCATACCTTGGTTGGATTGGAAGTCTGCAGACATTTTCTTTTTTTTTTTCTTTCTTCGCCAATAGATAATCTTCCAGGAGCGTTCGGGCACACGTCTAGCTGTCTCAGGCAGTGAAAACAAAATGGCAGAGCTCATATTAGGATGGCGGGTACGTTGATTAATTGATGTTATCGAATTATAGAATATGAAACGATATGTGATATGTGCGCCTTGTAAAAAAACATTGTTCGTTGCCAGCGTTCCTGAAAAACTGGTGTCGGGTTTTTTGGTAACACTACACTGCACAGTGGAGTGCGACGTCGATATTGGAAGCAAATAAATGCAAAAACATACATAGGTATGTATGTGTTTTTACTTCAATATAGCGGGCCATCAATTATTGATGCAACTTACATATATTCCATAAACGCTTTTAATGTTTGTGTTCAAGCACTCGTATCCCTACAACATAAATAACACTTACTGCATGATATCGTGTAACGATTTTGATCAAACTACATTACTGCTTAAAATAAACAGTTTGGTTACGATATCATGATCTACAAAGTTGAGAACTGCAACGTGTATGTTCGATCACCCCTGCTGAAAATTCAATCAAATCAGATCTTTGCTTGGCTGCAGCATTTTTCTTATGATCGCTATACTCTCCTTGTTTCAGTCCTTTTTAGTAGCTCAGTAGTAAATTTAAGCAGACTGGCCGATAACTCATAGCTTGTCATTTGTTTTATCTCGCTTAGTAACTTCTTTCCTTAGCAATTAATTAATTTTTTTATTTTACATTAATTTCTAGTCTACTATAAGCTATAGTGTCATACAACTATTTTGTTCCTTCTCAGTGATTCAATACATCAACATTTTATTGATTGTCCATTTGCTTAGTCATCTTTTTTATAATGGCTAAGTCATCTCTCTTCTGCTATAACCTTTAAATATAATTGCTCTGATTCTGTTTTTGTTTCGAAAATATGTCGCATTAGGTGTTTTATGAACTGCTAATTATAGCCAAACAATATAGGGGAAAAAACATCCGCAAATCGTAAATTATAGCTTTAAAAATTCAAACACAGGTCAGTCTTTTACAACATTATCGATTATTAAAAGTTTCTTTTAGCACTCTCTTCACGAGTTGAGCGTTTGGGGACTTGATCAATTTTTCTTTTGTTGAAATAAATTGCAAATTATTCATTATATTTATCATAACTAGTAAACTATCTATATTATTGTTTATATATGCAAACAAATATATAAATATTTGCTTAAAGTTTGAAACTCATATAGGGCTTACTTTGAAAGAACTTAAAACCACATTTACAAATGTACATATATTTTTTAAATTAAACATCATCTACAGTTCATTAACTCATGGCAATATAAATGATCAGCAGCACCATATAGGAACTCATGATTTAGATAAGAGTCAACTATTGTCTATTGTTCAACAAAATAAGAGGCTTCGTCTAAAAGTTACTTTCCACCAACCGCCCACTACCAACAACGTTTGCCTTTGAGGCCGGCCCCCACCCCCCTGTTAGGAAAACTTTCACTCACAAAGCCTTAATGCAATTAATAACTCATTAAATAAATACAAATCAAAGTGCGCGCCATGACTTTCTAGTTGAAAAGGCCGCAAGGGGCCGTGCGCGCAGCTCAATCGAAAAAAAGCCACAGACGTAAAATGTACCAATTAAAAATGCAATTCAAATCTGAATGGTTGGCAAATGAAGCGCATATGAATCTATAACCGTGGCCGAGAGTTAGGACTGCGGCTCCAACCCAAAGCAAAATGAACTCAAAAGCTACAAAGCTAGATTTGTGGGACCAGGAGTGGTGGCAGTTGGTTTTTATACCCTGTACCCAAAGGGTACAAGGGTATATTAGTTTTGTGCGAGTGCACATGGAACACACAGAAGGAGGCTTGGTAGACCCCACAAAGTATATATATTCTTGATCAGCATGACAAGCCGAGTCGATATAGCCATGTCCGTCTGTCCGTCTGTCCGTCTGTCTGTCCGTCTGTCTGTCCGTCTGTCTGTCCGTCTGTCTGTCCGTCTGTCTGTCTGTATGAACGCAAGGATCTCCGAAAGTATAAGAGCTAGAATAACCAAACTTGGTATACAGATTCTCCTGAGACCGAGAAAGGACGAGTTTGTTCATTTTTTCTGATCCACCCCCCCACTCCCCCCCTATTAACGATTTTCTATAACTCCCGTAATTCTTGGAATTTTGAACTAAAATTTGGTAGTCACATTAGGTTAGTAATTATATATCCGTATACCAAGTTTCATTATGAAAGAATGATCGGAAAGAAAGTTATAGCCATATAACCAGGCCCAATGCACACATACATACATATGTACAAGTACACAAACACGATTCTGATGTAAATGTAAATGTATCTATGCATGCATGAAATATTTTATATTTAATTTAGTTAATTAATTAAATTAATTTAGTTAAATAATTAAATTAAATTAATTAATTAATTTAATTAAATTAATTTAATTACTTTTTTGTGGGGTGGTACAGGGTATTTAAGAGTTGAGCCTGCTCGACTTTAGCATTCCTTTCTTGTTTATTATACCCTACCAAATGTGGTTTCTTTAGTTTGGCTTAACAAAATGAAGATAGGAAGTAGGATAGAATTGGATTGGGCTGAAAAGTAAATCAAAAATGTCTAGTGATATTACGAATTATAATTGGAATTAAGTTAAGAAAGCAAATGCAATAGTTAAGTTAGTAACTAATTGTTTTAGTTATTATTTCCCATTAATATTGTCAACAGATTTATTACTCTCTTCACTTCATATAATAAATCGGAACTGGTAAGTACTATTAATACAAGAAGTGGCTCCCCTAACACACTAAGCGAATAGAGAAATATTTGCTGTTTAGAATTTTTGAATGCATTATAATCAAATATATATTTAGATTACATATGACGATAGTGACGATATGACATTGCAATTTGACAATTCTGGAGATCAAGCAGCATTAATGAGAACAGTTCGTTATTTGAAGGAAATTTCATGAAAACTTAAATAATTACTTGATGTTAAAATCTGATTAATACGTATAATTAGACATCTATACATCTCTATATCATAAGTCAACTGGTGTATAATCAGGCCAATAAACGGCTTAAAAGGGTGTTTTGAAAACAACGATGTGCTGACAGATTGACGTTTCTTGTTATTCATTTAATTACATTCACATTTCATAGACAATTTCATGGATAACGTCAAAGTTTTTTGTAGGTTTTTTTATTGCTGCTGCCCCATGTTCCCGCCCCATGTCCACCACTACCTGCTTAGGTTGCCGTTCGCCTCAAGTGTCTTTTTAATTAGCGTTCTGCTCTGTTTTTGTGCGCTTGGCTGGTCCACTCGAACTACGCGCTGACGATGACGATGATGGCTCTGACTATGACTGCAGCGCAAAACACACACACACACAGACGCACACGTTTACATTTGTTATGTATGTATGTATGTATGCACACCCATATATAAGTACGAGCACAGGCAGTTTTACTCGTTAACTCACTCACCGCAGATTCAATTTGTATTTAAACATTTCTCCTCCTTTTTGTAGCCTCCATCATCGACATAGCGAACTAAATATGCATGAAAATGGAACTGCGACTGTGCACACACACACCCACACACCACACACTTGTATGCATATAGGCGCGCTCTCTCTCTCTCTCTCTCGCTCTCTCTAAGTCGCTAGCTGCTTTCACTCTGCCTCTTTAACTTCTCTTTTCCCCACTCGGTTGGTCGTGCGCTCATTCGCTTTTGCGGTTTTTGCCGTTATAATTGTGTGGTTTTTGTTGCTGTTGCTTGTTTTCCGGTTGGCTGGGCCTCGCTGCTATCCTTTTTCCTCCTACACAACATGAATGAGAGACTCCCACCGTCCACCTCGCTCTCCCCCACCAAGCCACAAAGCTGCTGCAGCCCGCCCGTCCCCACAGCTTTACAGTTGCATTTAAGTAAGGGCTGCAGTTTATGAATAAAATGTAAGCACATACATACATACATATACGAGTATACATATGGCACACACATATATACATAAGTATATTTGTATGCAAATTTGTATCTTGCATTTATGTATATATGCATGTATGTACAAACATACGTATATATAAATCAATATCCATATACGTTTGTATGTATATACATATGTATGTATGTATATTGCGACAAATTGATAACGTTTTGTATCATTCACGTCAAGTTGATTTTTGAGCATGACTCAATGCCCACAACGTCGGCGTTTATCGCCAGATGATGATGACGATGATGACGCAGTTGAGGATGACGCTGATGTCATCGTTTCTGAGGTCCTTTGACAGTGCTGTGTGGTATTAACATCGCCTAATATCGATTTAAGCACAACACGGTAAAGTTAGCACGAAATCGTGCTTAGCTTACCTGGATCCCTTAGACCTGATTGACCTTCAGTTATGAAGAGCATCTAGAAATAGTAAGAGGTGGTAAGTGATGCACTTTCCTTTGTTTTCCTTCCTTTCGGTATTTGGCATTTTAAAACAATATCCAGCATACACCTAGCTTTGAATGACCTGCACGTTGGAAAGATTATATTTAACAATGTTCATCCGTTCACCACTCACCTGAGTATCCCAGCTAACAAGCTGATATCTTAAATAATTCTAACCATCTTTACAAGCAGTAGAGATCTTAATGTACACACATGCATCACTATTCTACTTATATAGTTTGTGCGTATTCGTAGTAAAGAATCGTAGAACCTCCTCAAGAGCAAAGAAAAACGCTTTATATATGTAGATAACCAATTTAAAGCAATCCGATCGGACAGCTGTAAGAGAAGGTAATTGACTTGACTTTTTCAATTACACGTCGGGCAAACTCCACGAATATTTATTTATTTGTAATAGCTCTGATAAATGAAAAGTTTAACGTATTCGAAAATTAGTCGTGGCACTCCTTAAAACATTCTAACAATACTTACTATGTAACCAAATCTTTTTACAAATGGGTATCTTCATATATCCAAGCAGTTCGTTGTACTTTTCCTTCTTTAAATGAAAAACGGCATTTGAATTTTGTATCGAAAATTTTATTTCAAATACATAGGTTTCACGAAAAAAAAATTCTTCATAGAGCGGTGCATTTATGTTCACAAAAAAATGTTTGTTGTTGTTGTTGCTGCTATTCGTTTATGTATATTACAGGTAATTAGACTAAGCCTAGATTTATGATTGGGCATAAATTATACACTCGCACATATTGTATATTATCTCATTTGTTATTGCACAAAAGACAAAAAAAAAAACAGTTCTCATATTATTTACACAGACAAGTGGCGGTGGGCGACCTAGATCTGGACCTGGATCGGGACCTGGACCTTCTACATGGGGCAGCCGTGCACGTAACCCACGTTCCGAAAGATAGCCGCTGCGGCGGCGGAAGTCAAGAAGTTGCAAGGATTGCTGGCGGCAGCAGCTGCTGCAGCGGCGGCACTGAAGGTTGTGGGTAGGCCGGAGGGGCAGCAGCCGAGCCCACCGCCACCGCCCCCACTCTCCTGAACCGCAAAGTCCTTCTCCAGTGTGGCCTGATGACGCAGCTGCTCCAGTCGTAGCTGATTCTGACGCTTCCATTTGGTACTAAGAGGAAGAGAGAGCGAAGAATTGTTAGTTTAGGATTCGGGTTTTAAACAAATTTATTAATTTAGTTTCTGCAATCGTCTTTAACCTTTAACAATCTATTCTAATTTTTTGGCTTCCTAGAAACATTCTCTTTTGAACACTTTCTGATTTATTGCTTTACAGCACTGTCGACCCACCCAACACTATCCGAAAAGTTTACCTTCTGACAGCAGCACCTATTCACAGTCATTCCAATTTTGTTTGTCGTGCTGAACACACGTCTTCTCCTTATTTCATTTTATTTGTCAAATTTTAATTATTTTACTGATTTTTTCTTTAATACATTTTATTTTGAATCTTATTACTATGAATTTATTTGACTGCGGTTTTTTGCTCTGTCTAAAAAAATCCTCTCCTGTGTTCTGATTTGGTTCTATTCTAAAGAATTTGAATTTTTTATTGAAACTGGTTTTAGTTTGGTTTAGTTTTGGACTTCTCAATAATACTTTCTTGCAATCCCAGTCGTTGCGAGCGTTGTTCCAGAAGCAGAGTAGAGGTTTCAGCTGCCTCCAAATATGTTTCCTATTCTGGAAATCTTAACATTGTATTTTTTCTTTTAATTTTTTTTTTTTTTAGTATTTGTTGAATATTTAAAATTGCAAAGCGGTATATGTGGTACGCCGTTTATTTATTTACTTTAAAATATGAAAGCCTTGAGCCTGTCATACACCTACCGTCGATTCTGGTACCAGGTCTTCACTTGCGTCTCGGACAGATTGAGCGTCTCGGCGACATCACTGCGATCCGCCACACTCAAATATTTTTGACAGCGGAACTTGCGCTCCAAATAGGCCAACTGGGCATGCGTGAAGGCGGTGCGACGTCGACGCGGCTTCCGCCCGCTCTTGCTCAGCTGCAGTTTGTGCTCCGCATAGCTGCCACTGCCAGTTAGATTGTTGTTGCTGGTGCTATTGTGGCTGTGGCTGTGGCTGTTGTTGCCGTTGACGCCGCCTGCTGCCGCAGCAAGAAGGCCGGCGGCCACACCAGCAGCCGCTGCTGCCGCTGAAAGTCCCGGCGTACCCGTGCCACAGGACTCCACGCTGGACTCGTTGTGATTATAGTGATGGGACAACAGCTCCTGCTGACAGCCATTGGAGTCGGGTGTGGAGCGATCCTCAATGTCTATGTCCGAGTCATCGTTCGAGAGCTCGATCTCTGTAACGTAAAGAACAATTAAACAGCAATCCTAATATTCAAAAGTTTTTATCACATCTGAGATATAGGTATTGCGAACAGTAGTATGCCCAGAAAAAGTTCCACCGATGTGTTGTAAGCGTTTTTATATTAAGCAATAAGAAGAAGAGCGGACCTGCTAGGAACGTACAATGGAGACCAATTGTTAACGTTAATTTATAATAATAATCCAAACCGATTGATGAGAAGTTTGAAATAGAAGTAGAAAGCTACATTTAAATTACGAGCACGAAGCATCGCTTCTGTGGCTCTGAAATTCTGGGCAGCATTAAAAATCCTTAGCAATGGAAGAGACAATAAAATAAACTCGTGTTCATTGAAATTGAAATCGGACAAAGGCAGACATAATAGCCATAGATATAATCTATCAAAACAAATACATATTATATTTTTATTCAACAAATTTAAGATCAGCTGCCAGCAAACAGACCCTAAATACACCTAATTCTGTTTTTACACGGTCTTTTTTCACACGGTTTTGATTTAACACGGTTTGAAAATTAAAAATTTTATATATTTTTTATTTTTATTCCACTTAGCACAATTCATAGTTACATATGGTCAATGTTTTTTTACGCGACTTTTTCTGGCACCAATCTACCGTGTAAAAACAGAATTAGCTGTATTTCAATTCAATAAAAATTTGGATTCGGTGAATATATATAACAATTGAGTTATACAAATATGAGGAATGATTGGATCAATTGGTCATATAACAACCACAACGATCTAAACATTATAGTACTATGCGGCAACTTCTTAAAGATTGGTGACCCCGAAGCATATCAATTGCACTGATAGATAGATATATTTCAATGCGTATAGTAGTGTGGATTTTGATTGATTAGATCACTTTATAATGCCACAACCAAACGTCTTTCAAACGTATTTAGCGATTCATATGCTTATTCAATAACTTAAAGATTTGTGGCCCCAAAGCGTTCCAAAGCTAACCATAAGCATAGATAGTATATTTGCATGTAAATGGTAGTTTGGATTAAGAAAATAGAGACGGATTGGATCACTTTATAATGCAACAGCTATAGATCTATCAAAGCTCTTCAGCGGTGCCTTCGCCATTCATATGCGCATTCAATAACCTAAAGATTGGTGGCCCCGAAGCATAGAGTTGTGCAATATTTTTTGTGGGTAGTTTGGGTAAGTAAGTACTATAAAATGGACTTTAAGTGGAATTGGTGATTGGTGGTGCCTCTTGGCTTGGGTCCTGTGTAGTTGCCCTTTACTCGGCTTTGTGGCTGCGCGTGCAGGCACTTTAAGGCCAATGGCAACATCAGGGATTGCAAAGTGCGCGCTTCCTGTTGGCTCTCTCTCTCGTTCGCTCTCTTCCCCCCTCAACTATGCTCATTATTGTCCTGCGGCGGTGCTCGTGTTAACGCTTAAGAATGGAAGTTATTTTTATAATGGACCAAAGACAATCCAGGCAGACACTGAGAGTGCGCCTTTAAGTGGGCGTTGGTCCATTAACGAGACACACACAGACAGGGAAAAGCACACACACAAACACAAACACATACAGACGCATCTGAATCTCAGTGCAGATATAATTTGACGAGTTCCAACAATCGAAAACATGTTATTTATATCCTTCGAGCAGACACACACACTCACACACTCCCACATCTGCATATACATAGAATGTGTGGCTATATACATACATACTTCTTCACATATCCAGCCACGGGGCACTGCGGGACTGCCTGATTATATTCACGTGTCGTCTCGAGTCGCGCCCTCAATTGTTTCCTATTGGAATTTGTTGATTTCCTCTTTGGCTTTCGCCTTAACCCTCAACCACCGACGGCAGCCACAGGCTAACCCAACGCTCCGGGAGCTCACGTGTGTCCGCGCAGCGAGAGACAAGCCAGAGCTTTCTCATCCACATACTCGTATGTATAGTATGTTGTTTTTTTTTTTGTATTTGTATTTGTGGCGGAAATTATTTTTATATATTTTAACCCCAAATTGTTTGCCTGTTTGGTTTATATTTTTATGAGCATCTGCCCAGACACACACCCATCCATATGTTGATTCAATTACGAGTGGGCGAATGTGTAGGAAGCATCGTTTAAGTGACTGCCTGCCTGGCTGACTAACTGATTGACTGGCTGACTGACAGACTGGCAGACTGACTGATTGACGAACAGCCGGACTGACTGGAGTCGAGTGACTTCCTTTTTAGCCGAAAAGTCACGTCGTATCAATTTGCAGCACAATTGCCATTTAATAGGCACTTGAGGTGCGCGCGCTGTGAGATACAAAAAGATTCCCTTTTTTGCCAGACTCTACTCGAGAGCCAAGCTAGACGAAGTTCAAGTGCATATTATGATTATTAAAGATCTACCATTTGATAGAAATTAAAATAAAACAACAATAAAGTTTAGGAAAAATCGTTTTGCCTCATTTTAATTTAGCACTTTAGATCGTTCCCTTTCAAAACCAAGATTTACATATGCATCCAGATGTTAGTATGACTATTCGACAAAATCAGAAATTAGTAATATAACTGGTTTGTTTGCTATAAAGGTACGGCAATGGAGCCTTCTTTTCTGTCTAAGTAGAACTTTATTCAGAATTAAATTTGAGAAAATTATATAAAACTGATTTCCAGCAATGCTATATTCATTATTTAGTTTAATTATGTGCATATATTACTAAGTAAGTTATTAAGCTGACTTTAAGCCAACTATTTAGCATTTAACATTTTAAAAGACACACCACGTGTGTTGGTTGATTTTTATTCGAACCTTCCAAATCCTCAATTTAAATATTTACAAGCAAATTCGACTTTGTAGCTTCCTTGCTGAAATTCTAGATGAAATCAGTTTATTGTTATGGGAAATGGTGTAAAGCTTAACTTGTAATAATCAAGCTCCTTCAGGCTATAATCTGAACCACTCAGAAATCGTTGAACACAAATTGTTATTACTTTTCAGTGCTGTTTAAGTCGTAGCAAAAATATGAAGCAAGTGCATTAATATGTACTTATGAAATATTTATGGATAAACGATTAAAATAATAGGTTTCTTAAAACAAATTCTTAGCAATTTCGTTAATTTTAAAACAAAATTTCAATTAAACGCAAATCAACAAAAAGCGCCACAAAGTATGCAACGAGCTGCTCAAAATGCTCATCCGTGACTATCTCTACATGCATGGGTGTGTGTTTATGTAAGCGCGTGTGTGTGTGTGGATGTGGATGTGTGTTTCTTCTAATTGCTTTTGCCGGCTACTATTCCCATTGCTTTTAAGCTGCACATTTCTCAATTGTTTCGCATTACTTGCAACGCTGCGGCCAATTAGCGCCCACTTCACATGCAAGCACTCACCCCCCCACCGAACCCATCCCCCACCCCCACCATCAACCCCACCATCAGCCTGCTGCCGCTGTTGTTGTTGTTGTTGTTGTTGTTGTCAAACCACTAACAACCGCTAACAACCGCTAGCCGCAGGCATTTAAATCTCACACCTATACAGTCAAAACTTTTAGCATCAAAAATGTGTGAATGAAATGAAGGCGCACGGCTGTGGGCGTGGCACTGGCAGTGGCAGGACTGAGCCAGCCAAATAAGCAAACGAACAAACGCTTAGGGCAATAATTTAATTTTACATTGTCATCAGCCCTTGCTGTTGTTGTTGCTTTAACTCGCGCTCAAGCAATTTGTCACGTACAAACACTTTGATTGTTTAGCTCGACAGCAATAACAACAATTACACCCACACACACACACACACACACACATCATAAATCATACATGTTTATGTGTATGTTGTAGAAAAGTAAAAACAACGATTGCATATGCTCTAGACAAGGCACACGGTGGAACAAAAGCTCAAGAAAACAGTAAGAGCTATCCTGAAATTTATGTGCGATTTATTTATATTTATATTACAGATATATGTATGTATTTCTAATTAACAATAATGGCACTAGACCCAACTTTTGAAACCCATGTACCCATGTACCCTACAAAAATATTTATTGACATTGCTCTTCAGTACAATTGATCAATCTTCATAGGGAGCAATGGATCATCGAATTAAGGTAGAATAGTCCTATTCTTTGGGACACATTCGCACAAATAAGACAGCAGTCCGATTATATATAGTATTATACCTATTACTTTTTTAGAGAAAATCAGAGCTCTACAATAATAACGAAAGCATCCAACTGAATGTCAGCTCCACGTTGTCCATTTTAAGATATAGTACAAGGACTAAGTATGCAACGAGCTGACGACAAGCACATAACTGATGAGCCAGCACGTACTCCAAGACACTTTATCCTTCCATCTGTTCCGATACCAGAGAAGCTATATACTCTAAATCTACCACGGGGATAAATATCTTCCAAAAAATGCTGGTATACGATAACGTTGATCAACCGATTTGGCAATATTTGTGTACATTTGTGTATTTGCCTTCTTCTAGTTGATCGAATGAAAGAATAATCAAAAACTAAAACTACAAAGTCTTCCTTTTTTAATAATAATTGAAGTTGTATTTACATACTTCATACATATATATATATGTATATACATATTATATATATATTATACAGCACTAAGCAAAAGCAAAAGCGATTGTAAAAGATCCTTCTAATGTGTTCCAATGCGCGACAATTCTTTACAAAAAGATATCCACAATATCTATGTCTTTACTTATAAATAATAAGTTATCATTCAGTTCTCATTATCAATAATTGTTTTTCAATTTCTGCAACCATTGACTTCGTTCCAAGTTGATTTGCGAACATAAATAATTGCTATTTTTCTGATTCAAGTTTCAGCATCCTAGCTTTTCACATCGGTTTCCACGTCAGCCCTTAGTTCGTCCACTGCGATTACAGTTTCGTACCACTGTGGTGCGGCTCTATTACGAATGTGAATCTTTGTCTGCCTTGTATGGCCTCAGGTGCTCGCTCACATGGGCTGTGCATTTGCACATATATGCTCGTGAATAAAAGGATCTGTAGATGTGTGAGGACATCTTTCTAATTATGCATGACATTAAATAAAGTTTAGCCCAACAATTCAACTATTTAGAGGCTAATTGCTTCTAGTTAACCACCAAGTGAAAGTTTTTCAACTCAACTCTGTATGTGTGCGTGTGAGTATAGTATGTGTGTACATATAAGTGGAACTGAACAGTTCTCTCAATCCAAAGCACAAAAACTCCAGGAACATTCCATGATACTAAGCATGTGGCAATAAGGGAGCTATATTGATGAAGCAAGGGAGGATTTGTGTATCTTTTCGTATTAAACGTAAATGTAAGACATTTTTTATAAGTGATTAAAAATGAAATGAAATGTAAATTGTGGGTCGCGTATAATACTTATTATTCAACAACAATCAACTCGGACAGCCTTATATTGTGGGGGGTGCTTGTTGGTATTTTGAAAATGAAATCGAAGAGAGTATTTACTTTAGAAAACCTGAAAAGAAACTAACAAATAATTGTGTGTAATTCGAAAGTTTTATCCAAGGAACGTTAGAAAAACTTGAGATAATTTGATGGAAAATAATAGAAAAAGAACACGTTTTGAAAACGATTTATATATTAATTATCGTAAAGAAGGGCTCAGCTGCCGCAAACTGAGCGGCAGGTGACACTTCATAGGTCCGCATTTAGTGTTTTTCTAGTTGTTTTGCTACGAGAAACAGTGGAAAGCGTATCAGTTCGCCAATATTAAATATAATATAGATACATATGTATTTCAACATTGAAAAATTTGTGCATAAAAGATTAGAACAACTGCTATATAAACAATACTCTTCATTGTGTCAAGAATGAGTAGAGGGGAGTCGTTTGAGTCGTCGAGAAGACAGTGCACACTTATAGGAGAAGTTATTCTTATTTTAAGTTCTCATATATATTGTTTGATTAATGTAATCACTTGTATGTAACAAAATGAATACATGCATCCTAGATACAGACCCTGACTATTGTATAGCTCAAAATTTAAGTGGAAACATAGAATGCTAAGTTGAATGCACATGGATTTCCGATTTTATTTCATTCAGCACATTCCCTCATTAACAAATGTTTAATAACTTTCTTTTCATCTAAATATTTTAATAAATTTCCACGTTGCTGAAGTTTCAATTTGTAAATAATTAGTTTGAACAATAATTAGTTTAGACAATCGAAATCAAATTTTGTTGACGGAAGTTTAGATGATATTTCGTTCAATAATTTCACAGCTGCCGTTCACGGAATCCATAGACCACTAGTGAAACCATTGGAAATCAAAATCAAAGCAATTCGATATCAAACTTTAGGGATTGTCCAACATTTGGTGACACAGTGAATACTGTGTTACAAAATCTATTTTTAGAGCTACTTTTAAAACTATATAATCGAAAGTCATTGTGGCTTACATACCTGAATCTGTTTGTCGGCGATTTATTAGATCTCCAAGTAAGTCACGAATTAAAAATGATTTTGAGCTTTGCATGCTTGTGTCAATATTTAAACCTTAAATGTACAACTGTTTGCCTTTTCAATGAAATAACTTCCTCTGTAGTTCTCGTCGAATTTCAATAGATTTATTTATAATTCTTTATGGGGCATATTTTGTTAAATTTTTGCGGTTTAGACATAATTGAATGATTGTTTATGTTTATGTTTTTGTGAGAAACTCACAATTCACAAATGCAGAAAGAAAAAAAATGGGTTTGATCCTGGCTGGAGCCGGCGGCAATTCCAATAGAATGATGAGGATTTCTCTTTTATATGCTCATGAAGAGATTTAGTTTGGGATTTGTTTAATTGAATTGTCGCGAATTGGCGGACAGCTGAACCGTTAAGCGCGAAGTCAAATGAACAACTGAAATGCGAACATTTATTAATCCTTTTAACGAATACGCGAGCGCAGCAAAAAACTGACAAGCACGCACACACACACACACATACACATACACATACACATACACACACATACATGTATGCGCTTGTGGTAGAAGGAGCAGCACAAGCCGAAAAAAAGTGAATTACGAGATTTGTTGCTGTAAACGGGACAGTTTAGTATGCACAGCAGCGGTCTGCGTCGTAGTCGTCGTCATCGTCATCAGCGGCAGAGCCAGAACCAAAACCAGAATCAGAAACAGAGGCTGTGGTGGTGGTGGATGTGGCGGCTGTGGTAGCGGTGACGTTAACATGCCATTTAACCGTTATTAAATAAGTTCAACGCCATCTCGCTCGCACACAGGCAAAAAGCAAAGCTTCCGTTGCCGCTTAACGTTAGCCATTTTGTTTTCATGGCTCGCAGACACACACACACAACATATGCCATCTCGCTCAGCATTGGACCGACACCCACGCGAGCAGGGTTGCCGTTCGCTCATTGGTCGACAGTCACAACAACCCCCTGTGGCCTTTTGTTGTTGCTGCTATCCTCGCTGCTGCTCAGGTAGCAAGGTGCGCTGAGCTCGAAACAAGGATATCCTCGCATTTGAATTTGTAACACTGCTCGAAATGCTTGTTCGCTCGTTCGTGGTCCGCTCATCGCGTTGCAACGCCGCCGGAACGTCAACCCGGTCCATATCCTTGCAGTTGTTGCTTTAGCCGACGGATAAATCGACATAATAGTGAGTTTAATGCTGTGCTAATTTTTTTTATTCATCGCTGGTTCGCTATACTGTCTTCGCATCAGTAGTAAGGTAAAAAAATATATACATTATATATGTAAAAAATATTAATCAGTTAAGGTTTCGGTAGTACCATAAATGTTTAGAATAAGGATTAAACACTTGAAATGTTTGACCACAATTTGTATTCTAGTGTTCCGAAAGTTACAGCTCAATCTATGTTGCTATATTGGATGGAAAGGCAAAGTTTCCAAAGTTTTCAAAATGGGAAATTAGGTACCCATTCGTAGATCACTCTAGTATCATTGAGATTATTATGAACGTAACTCGGTTTAGGCAATTGAAGCTTGCGTTTGAACACAACTAATCCTGCGGAACCTTTGTTTTTTTATTTAGATGCCATAATTGAATCTTAATTCCTTGGTTCCTACCGGAAAGCGCGAAATAATCTACGCACCAATCGGACTTTTTTTAAATTAGCTATAATATTATAATACAAGTAGTACTAAAAATATTTTTAAAGAAGAAAATGAACATTGAGTCGATAGAAAAGAAGCAGTTGTTTTACAAAAAAAAATATATATATATACATATATATTTGTTGCTGCAATATTTCTAGCCTAGTTTGCCATACAGCAAGGCAATTTTCTCAACAATTTTTGAAATAAGTGAAGAAATGAAAACTTCAAGTTATAAAAATGATGTAAAATATGTCTTTATGCGCTTCTTACAATCTATACTATACACACATCTCTAAATATACATATCCGAATTTATAAAATATAAACTAAGCAACGCATCGTTACTTAATTCGTAATTTCAAATTCAGCCCCGACATTGTCTCCGTACCATCTGCATCATTATATACCATCGAATTAAAGTTTGAATAATTTTGAATTTTAGAAATTCTGTTGCAGCTTCAAAACCAGATTGTTACTGATGTCCATTCACAGGAATCGCCTTGATATGAAATTCGTTGAGGGCTGCAATGGTAGCTCCCAGAAGATGTATGGAGCCAGTGATGAGGACATCCAGCTCGTGATTATTGATGGAAAAACGCTCACGAATGGCAGAAAAGGCATCGTACACTGTGGAGTAGACTCGGGAGTTATTGATCTGATTGGTGGCGTTGCACATTTCATCCCAGCTCCTGGCTATGGCGTGGGCGCGCTTCAACTGAACCTCAGCACTGGAGCGGATCATGACCTGATTGGGATTGATGCCCTTGACGGTGGCCACATTGGGCACAAAGCAGATCATGTCGAATGTGCACTTCTCGGAGAGCATTTTCAGCATAGGCATGGGATCCGAATCACCGGTTCGATTAAATATTAGAATTTTCGGATTATTGCTGTAAGCCAAGTCAGACAGTCAGAAAGTACTTTCGAGTTAGTCAGGCGTTCCACGAACCTGTCAGAGGTGCTCTTCCAAAACCAATCGGTGCACACACGCATGCTCTCCTTGGTATGGGCTCCATCCAGATGCAGACGCATGCCCTGAAACTGAACGAGCTGACAGCGACCAGGCCAGTGACAGTTTCGAAGACCTAAGAAGACCTCATCGCACATTCGGGGCTCGTTAATGGGATAACGACGGTGCAGCGTGCTGGGCGTCTGACGTAGCCAGTCATAGGCCAACTGTATGGCCAGCGAGCCGTTTAGACGAATTACTTCATTGAATGTCGGCCAATAGTCCTCATACAGATTGTGCTTAAAGTACTGCTCAAAAGCTGGAACTTCGTGTACAGTGGCCTGAGGGGGAAAAACCGAAAAAGCAATCTATATATTAAATTGTTAATAATGCTAATATATGTACATATGTATATCATAGAGTTAGTCGCACAAAAAAGGTACTGTGGTTACAATAGAAAGATCGTTATATCTTCAAACTAAATCGGTTAATTAAAGCTATATCTACTTTAGAAGCTAATGTTTTCTTACCTTTTATTTTTAAATGTTTTTTATTTAAAAGTTTTTAACAAAGACTTAATACTTGTGCAGGCCTGTTTCCATCTCCGCTTCGATCACAATCGAAAATGTCGAAATCGATGACTATTTGTTATTTTCAATTAAAAACAACAAGAATTTTGTTCTTAAATAGAAGCTTTTATTTCTTAAAAACAAAAAAAACTCCTTTGAGATTTACTTTTCCAAGTTTATTTGTAAAATAGAATGAGTTTGTATGAAAAGATTCGCCTGTTTGTACAAAATATGATCAATTTACTCAACTTGCGAAAACTGGAGACTTCCAATTTCAAGATATTCAATCAAATTGGGAAACGCGAAAAGTCAATTGAAATGAATTACCACTCTTCCACATATGACTCATCACGTATTATTCTAACATACTCGTATAAATAAATTGCTCACCTGTTTCTCAAGAGCCCGATCGCGTATCACTTTCAGACACTCAGGCTGAGTGACATGCGTGTAGACGTGGGAGTATGGCTTGATAATGCCCGCTTTTTGCCAAGCAATCTGTTCCATGGTGTTTCCCAAGAGCTCGGTGTGCTCCAGACCCAGGGAGGTGATGCCCACGGTACGGACATTGCGCAGCACATTTGTACAATCCTGTTCGCCACCAATGCCCACCTCCATCACGGCCACGTCCACATTCTCCTCAACGAACACATGAAAACTGAGAATTGTGAGGAACTTAAAGTACGCGGGCATGTCGGTTTCATTCTCGCGCTTTGCCATCAACCGCTTGTAGACAGGCCAAAAGTAATTCACAAACTTCTGTTTGGCCAGCGGCTCGCCATCGATGCGGATGCGCTCGTTGGTGGCCAGCACATGGGGAGAGCTGAAGAAACCAGTGCGTGCCCCATATTGACGTAATATGGATTCGACTAACGCACAAGTGGAGCCCTGCGATCATTTTTGTGATCATGATCAAGATCAAGTCAAAAAACTTTGTCGCTTATCAGTTGTCGAGGCTCACTCACCTTCCCCTTGGTCCCCGACACATGGATGAATGACAACTGTTCCACGACGTTGAGGGGCAGACCGCTCCGTTCTAGATACTTGACGGTATCCTTAACAGTGTTGATCTTAGGATTTTCAACAGAACGTCTTATGGTTTGCTCATTCGGCTGCAACTTATTTAGCTCTTGTATGGCCGTCTATAAATAATTAGTGAGCTGCTGAACTAAAATGCCGGCCATCGGAAACGAAAAACGCACCTCAAAGGCAGCATTCACCTCACTGTTTTTATCATCGTTGCTGCGTCCCTTGGGATACAATACTAGGTCTTCGAACGGCGATGCGTTTGAAAGTTGTTCCTGGCATATGCGAAACGGCAGCTGAGACAACATTGTGAAGTGGGAGCTACTGCTACTGCTGCTCGAGGCGTGCGTGGGGGTACTGGAAGGTGGTATGGTGACTAAATTCCGAATGTGTTGCTTGATGTCATTCATTCTCAGGAGAAACGCACGTAAACTGGGCTTTGTATTCTTGTGTACTGAATTAAGCAACCGAATTACAGTCATATTTGAGCGTTTCTACCTACAACGATATCGCACTCTGCTCTATGGCTAACGCTCTCACACGCTGTGCGTGCTAGATTTTCTCTATTGCCAATTCTAAATTTACGAAATGGAAGAGAGACAGGGGAGAGAGTATAGATAATTTTATTTTTTTGTTTGTAAAAAGAATAATAGTAACTATATATAAAAAATCAGCTTTTATGCTAATTACTCATTTCATTACTCGCTCCATTGATAAGATAGGCAGCACTATAATATTGTAATACACGCGCAACAGTCACACACACTTTTGCCTTTGCAGTGACCCTAGCTACCATATCTATACACAACACCATGGATCTATTCATTTATAAAACTTCAACTTCTGCTGGGCGACTGTTCAAAAAGATATCAGTACGATAACGGTCGCTTAACCTTTGATAGCTAAGATAAGTGCATGCACATATGATAAAAACGATAAGTACCATCGATAGTTTTGCTGCAAGGTGGCAACTTTCCCAATGTACTCAGACGCAACACATACAAGCACGTGGTGCACGAAAATACATACGCCCACATGCTGAAACGCTACACTACCAACAACAAAATAAACAAACTGTACAAGGTGACGACGGCCCAACACGCTGAGTAGCTAGAAAAATCCAATTAACCCGCTCAGCCATGCCTAAAGAAACTCTAGCCAATTAATAAACATCTGCAAATGTAAATCGAGGTACACGTCGCGTTTTGTTTCCGTCGCCATCGCTAGCTTGCGCTAAGTTTCAATTTCCCCATCTATTATTGCCCGATACTTACAGATATCCGAGCTGATTATGGTAATCAAATTTAATGCCGATTTAAATATAAACATAACAATTTGAGTGTGTTATTGTGGACAGCAATTTTGTGCGTCAGAAAAATAATACACAGCCTCCTACTGGGTAAAAAATACACTAAACACTACAAATTTTCGACAAACGTGCACCACCGCCTAAACAGCTGTGTTTATGGAAGAAGAAGAATGCAAACACATGGATTTGAAATTAGATGCAAAAACAACAATGACTGCTGAGAATATGTTTGGCAGCCAAGTGGTTGATGAATCTGAACTTTCCACAAATAAAAACAGGTATACTAGGTATAATTTTTGTTTTCTGTAGACCCATTATTCAGTTTCCCGCCTTATAGAACCATGCGCTTGGGCCTCTGTGAAGTCTGCGCACGCATCGAAGCGCGCTATTGTTGCCCTAAATGTGAGGTGAAGACCTGCTGTTTAGCCTGCGTACAAATCCACAAGCGCGAACTGAAATGTGACGGAATACGAGATCGTACAAAGTATTTACCACTTCATGAGATGACGGCGCGTGAGTTTATGAGCGACTACTGCTTCCTGGAGGAGTGTACGCGCTTCACCGAGGATCGCAAGCGGGACAAGATCAAGCGCTACACTCGACAACAGGCAATGGTACCGTTGCCACAGCATCGCATGCGTTCGGCAGCTCTAGAGCGTGGTACACGTCTGCATCTGCTTCTACCCAACTTTACGCGGCACAAGCAGAACACAACCTATCTGAACTGGAAGTTAAATCGTTTATACTGGCGCGTCGAATGGGTCTTTTTGAATGCATCTGTGCCCAGCACTGGTGGTGATGACGTTGCACCCGCTCGCTTTGTCGACGCACGGTGCGACGAGCAGCAGACACTAGCAGAGCTCTTACTTAAATATGTGGATCTGGAGCAGGATATGGCGCGGGAGCAGCACAAGCTTTTGTGCTACTACCAGAGTGCCGGCATTGCCAAATTACATGCTCTACTGCGTGCCGAGGGTGTGCGCAACTGCAGTTCACGCTACTATGCTCTGGATATGCAGAAAACGTTACGAGAGAATTTGGCGGGCAAGACCGTCATCGAGTTTCCCACCATACATGTGACGTATGAAGAACAATTGATCGGCTATAACATCATTGACAGTGGTACGTACCATTTCAATATAACACAAAAAAAAAGATTCTCTTTTAGTTACCTATTTGAACCTATTTTCAGATGAAGAGGCCGAGGGAGAAGCAAACGAGGCATCGGAAGCTCCCCAGCCAGGCAAGACAACGTCCAAGCGACAGGTGAAGCACCAAAAGTCAAACAGCTTAGAAGCTAAAAAGGTGAAAACATCGCAATCAATACGAGACATTGCGGAACTAGAAGCCGCATTTGAAAATAACGATATGCCCAGCAGTGGCGCCTCTGACACGAACTCAGATGCCAGTGATGGGGAGGAGGCTAAAAGTGACCATGAAACTGCATTGAAGTTATTTTGAGGCTCACATTTGTATAGTAGAGCCAAACCAAACCTTGTTGGAATCAGGGAATCACAAAGGTGTCAATAAAAAGACAGTTCTGTTGAGTTTTTCAACGATTCGTATAATGGCTATACCTGTGATTTCTGAAATGTCAGCCCTAAGGTCATATACATATAAAAGGATATATGTCACTTGGATATAGTTTTCCAAAATTCCTTTACACTTAGGTACTAGAAATTATTTCAATACTGTAACAAGATGTGTGAAAATTACGATATTTACGATGCTGTTTCTTTATATAGTCAACTACTTTTTATTATAAGAAAATGCGTTTAAATATATTTGAAGGAAAGTTACCACAAAAGTGTAGTAAATTTGTTCACCACCATCATTATATTTCTATATTAATGAATCGGTGCTGATGAGATATAACCATGTAGCCATTGGTTGGGAATTGGCAGGCTCATATCAAAATAATCTTTTTAATGAGTTTAACTGGAAGCAGAATTTTTTATAAAATAATTGTAGGGTCATCTCCTAATATTATTATATGAGAAAAGGTTCAATTTAAAGAAGAATTTTTTAAGTCATATTAGTTTTTCCCCCCATTTTAAGTCTCAGAAATGCTTGTGAATGTTTTAACTATTGCTGTAAAAGAGTTGTTGCTTTGGAGTGAATAAAAACACGGGAAGAAATTTGTTGCATGTACATAAATTGTATTTCTCATACATTTGATTTAATTGTTTAGGCTAATTTAATAATAAATGTATGTATAGCTCTGTCTTCGTTCTATTTTTTTCTTTTAATAGCAATTTATTCGTCTTTATGCAGTTGGTAAATCAGATACAACTCCTGTTCGTTTAACTAGCGTTATATGATTTCTATAACTTGTATATATATAATATAATTAAATTGTGTACAATTTCTTGAGTACAAATACAAATTACAATATGCTTTTGCGGAAGTTCTATAAACTTTCAATACGCATCTCTCTTTTTCATCTATTTTGTTGTTGTTGTCAAATTTCAATACTTATTAAAACCAATTGGCAAATTTGTACATTGCTACATATGTGTGCTAATATTTGAATTTGATGTTTATGTATTAGTTGTTTATTTATATATTTTTTATGATTTTTGCCTGCACCAGTTTTAATTTAAGCTTAATTAAAATAAAAACCGTTCACAATTCATCATTCTTCCAGTTAAACGCATAAAACAAACTGACAAACACAAACGAAACATTTTAAAATGCATATCAATAGTTGTTTTAATTGAACTATAAAATAATTGGAATATATATATATATGTGTAGTTCGTTTTTATAACATACAGTTTGTTAATTTCTTTGAAAGAATTTGCCAAAAATTGCACCAACAACTATAATACATAATATAATAATAACAGTGATGGGGGAGGGGGAACATTTTTTGTAAATTCAAAAAAAGGGCCATTAACATATAATAAAAATAATATACAATATGATTATGTGTGTTCACTTTTTTATTATTATTTAATAATAGTGGTAAATACAGGGCGGTCGCGCTCTGCTGCTCTTTACAAATTAGAAACAACTTAAAAATAAACACATTGCAACACATCTTCATTCATTTAACTATAATTATTATAATAAGTCCCCATAAACATTTCTCCGCCACACACACATACTCTCATTTTGTTGTTGTTAATAGATTTTTTTTTGTAAATTATATGTGGTTGTGAGGTGGTTGCCGCGTTTAAGATTAATGCTGGGCACCAATCTTACAAAAAAAAAGAAAAAATTAAACTTCATACAACAGAATAAGGTCTCGAAAATCGGTACCTATAATTATCGTATGAGAAATTTCACTTTAGGACCATTTGCTTAGATGTGTGCATCTATCTAGCATATAACACAAAACGTATTTATGAATAAACAATCAAATTTAAATCATTTAAGATCGCCCCTGTTGGGAACGTACCAACATACCATAAAGAATGAAATGTACAACGAATAGTATTTAAAACGAAAATCACAAAATAGATTTAAACGTAAATACAAATTAAGTTTAAACTGTTGATGCAAACCATGGGCGCATTTTAAAGGATATGCAGGTTGGGTTGTTTCGGGTGATTCGGGGGTGGTGTTACATAGAGCGGGGAAAACGAAATTTACATATAAACATGTATGTATTTGTTTAGCTATTACAAGTCGTACATAAACTTCTGGTCTGCCAGTGTCGAATCGTACACATCGATAGGCAGAATAAACTAAATACAATACACACACACACACATACTCATACACGTACACACACCTACAGCGAAATTTGAAAGGCAAGAAAATTTGGTTTTAGTTTTTAGAGAGAGGGAACAAAGTTGCAGGCAGCCTGTCATGATGTCGCACCTAGATGGCGGAAGGCATGCAGTTGGATTTGTTTCATATGCTTGTTGTAGTTGTTGTCGCTGTTGTTGTTGTTGTTCTGGTAGGAGTTGTTGTTATGGGCGCGCCGCCGTTGCATGCAAAACAAACACAACAGCAATCGATATGATTGCAGATTGAACACATATATAGTATGTATATGTATATAGAGAGATAGTTGATTTAAAGGTTCTTCAGAAATTATTGTAATAGTTCTTGTGATGCTTCCTAGACGTGCCTGTGTGCGTGCGTGTGTGCGGTGTGTGTGTGTGTGTATGTGCGCTGTTTGTATGCATATTGTTGTGTATGTGGTTTACGTAGTTGGAAGTGCTGCAAAAAGAAGAGAAATTCCATTAAGAATGTTTGCGCATCTACGATAACAAAGGGGTGGGGGTGAGTGTGGATGGCGGCGGAAAGAAATACAAAACATAGCCCCCACATACATACATAAGTGTAGGTATACTTCTGCGACTTGACCTTTGACTTCAAAAAATTATAGAACCGAATGAAACCCAAGAGCTGTTGTCTACAATTATTAATTTTAATTAAATAACTATTCTGCGATTACATATTTTGACACTCAATTTTGTTTTAAATGACGCTTTAAATGTTTAGCTATTAGTTTGACACCGGACTATCAATGCTTTTTATTGAGAAAGCTACCAAACTACCATCAAGTGAGTATTACTCTTCACCTGCATTTACAACATTTAAAGTATTCTAATTGTAATTAGAAATACTTAATTTATTCATAAATATTTCTGAACTTTGCGTTGCAAATGTAAATATAAATTTTTAAATGTTTTAATATAGAATTTATCTTTTATTTCTTGCCGCACACTATTGTACACCAACTTTTGTAAAACTTACACTGGCTGTGGCACCAATCTACTGCTGCGGCTGCTGAGACGACGCGCCGGGCACGAAATACCCGCCTTGAGGCATAGCAGCTGGCGCCATTATGGGTGCGAGTACGTTCTCTGGTGTTGCAGCCATGGGCGCGCCTGATGGATTGAACACATCAACGTAGGAGTTCTTCAGCGCTGCAATTAGGAAGGGGAGAAGTCGATGTGGCGATTTGTTATTTAAGATGATATGGGTTTTCACTTACTGCGATTGCGTTGCATTTTGAACATATTGGATTGTAGTTTCGGTTGCGGACCACCGGGGGCGACTGGTGAGGGAGCTGTGGTGGGTGCGACAGGGGCCGGCGAAGGTGCTGCGGCATACATTTCGGGCACAATGGGGGTTGTAGGGGCGGCCACGGCAGTGGGAGCGGCAGTGGCAGCTGTGGCTGTATAGTCGACTTGATTGCCGTACATATTGTGACTGGCATTAAGCATATCGAGTGATTGGGGCTGCTGAGATGGCATCACCGGTGGTGCCATGCCCATTCCCATGCCCAATCCCATGCCCATGCCCACTCCCATACCCATGCCAAGATCGCTCATCTTTGGCGGCGGCTTGAAGCTTTCCGATTCCTCTGCATTCGCTTCGGTGTTGGTCCAACATTTGCGCTCCTTGTCCCACACAATGGTGGGATTCTTGTCGTCCGGTAATATCATTTGATTTTTTGGCTTCAGCGAGAGCTTGTTCCATAAACCACCGAACCAGCCGGCATTCTGATTGCCCTGTGCGCTGCAAGTGAATAAAAAATAATACGTTTTGGAGAAGGCGGATAAGGAAAATGATCAGTAACTGCCTACCCAGGCTCGGTGGCAGCCGACTGTGCTTTGCTCGCCGTTTTGGCAGCACCAGTTGTGGAGGGTGTGTTGGCGGCCCCTCCACCACCACCTGTTTGCGCTTTGCCGCCGTCCTCATCATCGTAAGTCTTGGACCTGGGCATTGAAATTGCTGGTCGCTGCTGCTGCTGTTGCTGCTAAATGTTGTGCATGAGTTTTGAGGTAGGTTTGAGAAATGGGAGTCGATTAGTTTTTTTTAGTAATCACAGGAAATCTTCTTGATAAGAATTTGTTAGAGAAGAGGAACGAAAAACATGAAATATGTTACATCAATCGATACAATTGGGCAATATATATAATAATACATTTGTATATATGTATATATATTCAGTATTATCAATGTCAATAGAGAGCATTCAAAATCAAAACTGGCGCAGGTCAACAAAATTTTGCTTAACTACAATTATCATTATGTTTTTTATATAAATATATATTTTATATTGTGTTTGCATTTCTCATTTGAAATTTAGCTTAAATTGTTAGTTTTTTGGTTTTGCCTTAAATATTTAAGCACCTAAACGCCGCCAACTATGAATCTATATATGTGTAGATTATACTCTGAGCACCGTTTACAGCTAGCACGCAGGTACATTATAAATTTTTGAGCAGGTCGCTTTTGGTATCATTAATTGTTTTTAGAGCTGCTTCTTAGCCAAGCCGGTGCCGGTGCCTCTCCCTCTGCCACAGCTACTGACACTATTAGACATGTCGTTAATATCGCAGGTGTTGGCAGTACCTCGCTTTTTGGCATCTAAATAGGCCTCGAACTTGCTCAGACTTTGCTCGACCTCACTGCACATTTTCTTGTAGTTGAGCGGTATATTTGGATTAGAGATTAGCTCTTCCATGGACCACACATTTTGGCCACTGCTTGGCTCCTCAGTGGCCTTTGGCTTCAATATGCCAAATTTGGTAAGAAAATCGTTTTGCCCTTCGAGCAGAAAGTCATCATAGAGCTCACAATCATCATCGTCTTCTTCGTCTTCATCATCATCGTCATCGTCGGCGTAGTTTAGCAGCTCCTCCACATCCACATCCTCCTCTTCCTCCTCGGCCTGCTCGCCCTCAGCATCCTCGTCAATGACATAATCGTGCAACATATAGCGATAGCGTTGCATATCGGAGCGATCGGAATTCGCCTCAGCATCGTAGTTACGGGATAGCTTCTGATAATGAGCGGCTGTTGTGGTCAGTGGCATATCTATGGGATATGTGCCATTGAATACTATATGCGGTTTGTTTGCTTTGCGCATGCTTAGTTTAGAGGCAGCCGCCAAAGCCATGCTAGTATTATTATTAATATTACTATTGTTATTATTATTATTGATATAAGAGCTATAGCTGCAGCCCGCTGCCTGATTATCCTCATCGAGTTCACCTTCATGCTCTTCAACTTCAGTAATTGTTGTCGGCAATTTAAAGTTGACGCGCTTCGTAGGGATTGTGCAGTTTGTTGCTGTTGTTGGTGCTGCTGGTGTTGTTGATGTTGTTGTTGCTGGTTTGGCTATGGCCGGCTTGGCTGTTACGAAACGTGTGGGCGTGGTTAGCGTTTTGGGTACAGTGTGCGCCATTTGCTTACAGATATTGTTAGGCAGGTTATATTTTTGGCTAGCAAGACTAGTTGTTGCAGAGATTGTTTTGCTGTTGCTGCTACTACTGCTGTTGCTGCTTGTGGTGTTGCTGGTAGCATTTTGACGTTTATTTAGAGTAGTTCTGCTACTTACATCATTCAGATTGAATGCGTTGCCCACTGACGAGATTGCCGGTTCGTAGATTTGTGTAGGCGTGTGCTTTGACATGCTGCTACTGCTTGTTATGTTGCTGTCGTTGCTGCTGTTGGCAAATTGCAATTTGCGCGTTGCCTTGCCCGCATAAATCATTGGTTTATTGTTGTTACCGGATACTTTGAGGGCATTGGGCTTAAACCGATTTATTTTGCTGCTGCCGCCAATGTGTTGCAGTTTTTGTTTTTGTTTCCCTATGCCACTCGTCTCGGACAAGCTTTTTTCGGGCAATTCCAATTGTTGGTGATGTTGTGGTAATTGTTGTTCCCCAACTGATCCATTGTCCAAGCTAGCGTTGTTGTTGTTGGCACTATTCTCACTGCTCTCCATATGCTGCGATGGCTGCATTCCCAGTTTTGCGTGCGTGATTAGAAACATTAGCAACATCAATTCGGATTATGGATTCAGACAGCCGTGTCGGCAATGGAGTTGAACACAAAACTTAAGACTACATTGGGAAATCATGAAAATCCATTCTAAAGTTAAGCATACAAACAGTTTCAAAGCCATTTTTTGCTTTAGATACTTTACAAATTATACATAAATAAATCAAATACAATACAATAATAGGGGAAGAATCTACAGAATGTGCGAAAACTGCCGGCTAATGGACGCTTACCTCATCGGCATTGGCAGCGCCACCATAGGGATGTGGCGCCTGTGCGGTTGGCCAGTAATCGTAGCCAGGGACGGGTACAGGGTTGTCGCCGCCATATTGAGAAGCAGACGAGGCTGCCTGATCGGCATAAGCATCTGTAGCAGCCTCGATATGGCCACCATAGACGTTTGTTGCTCCCGACTGTGCAGCCGTTGCATCGTAGAGCTGTGATGGTGGCTGCTGCTGCTGCAATGCCATATTGGGATCATAGTACATTGGATTGTGCTGCTGTTGTTGGGCATAGGGATCAACAGCGTCCGCTACTCGTTCATTCGCTTGTACTGTCTGCTTGTAATAATCCGACTGCGTCTCGTAGGGCACTTGTTCGCCAGTCATCTGACTTTGTTGCTGCTGCTGCGGCTGTTGTTGTTGTTGCTGTTGCTGTTCACTAATGCTAGCGTCCTGCAATGTTTGCTCAATATTGTTGGCGGCATACTGCATATTCAGCTCACGAAACTGCTTATTAACCTCAGCAAATTGCTGATCAATCTCGCTCTGGGTTGGCGGCAATTGCTGCTGTGGCGGCGGCTGCTGCTGCTGCTGCTGTGGTTGTGAGACAGGCTCAGTGAGTGGGCTTTATTTACAGTCGGTATATTGCCACCTACCATATCTGCGAGCGCTCGCAAAGTACGCAGCCAAGCTTTCTCCTCCTGGCCGCCTTGTGCTGCATTCTGGTTGCTGTTGTTGCTGCCGGCGCTCGGCGGACTCGCAAACGACACGCGATTTATCAGTATGGGATCATGGTAGCGTAAACGTTCCGCCAGTGAGGCAACCTGCATAGAAATTTTGTATATATATAGATTTAGATATAGCCAAGTAAGGTGCACACTTACCCGTTGGATAAAATCATTGGTATATAACTCCGGTTTCAGCTCGATGTGTTTAGCAATTTGCTCCAAATAATTGGTGCAACGGAAGTGCTGGCCGTAGTCCAAGATGCGCGTGGCCAGCAGAAATTTGTAGTGCTGCAGATTTTACAATTCATTAGAGTAGAGGTACGAAATATTGATTGTACTGCCTACCTGGAAATTGGCTATGCTGAACTTGTTATCGAAAAGCGAACGTGCATATTCATAAATCTCCGTCATGATGATTGCTTCGTTGCTCGCAAATTCGTTAAATTGTTTATAATGCGAGGCGCCAAGCAGAATGAGTCTGAGAATAGGTGAAGAAGACATTATTAGTTATACGTGTTTTTGAGTTCCCTCTCATCGATGAGAATCTTCAGCCCAGTACTTTAGTGTGGGGCATATGCGTCAATAAAAATAACTATATATTTATAGCTTTGCAAATGTACTTATTTGCTTCTATGGTATGTTTATTTAAAAATAAAAAATAAAATGGGCAAAATAAAAGTGGATGGCAGTTAGGAGGCCAACTTTTTCAGATTAAGCTGTCACCGTACACCCCTAGAGAAACACAATCTAGTCCCTGACACTTGGCAGTATCAGAAGCTAGGCTAAGATCCAATATGGTGCTTCCTAATTTGATATTCTACGACTTATAATGCAAAGTTAGATTAAGGAACATCACTTACTTGGGCACATTGGCATTCAGGGTGGTGTGTTCTGTAGCCATGCTGTCGTAGCGCCCGAATTCTTCCTGAGCTACCAGATAGCAGAAGTGAGCCGCATAGATGTCGCCGCGCTGGTAAAGCGTATCGCCCAATGCCACCACAGAGCTGCGATCGTACTCCGGCTGTCGAGACTTATTCGTGACCAGAATGGCCAAATGCGCTCGCCAATCGCCCCAATGCTCGTCACGCAGTTGACTAACGCATGTGGGTGTGTGACAGCTCTTCATTTGATAGAGCGTCTGAAGTGGATCGTTCGGCTTGATGGCGCGATTAAGAAACTTTTGGGCGACGTCGGTGAGGGCATAACGATCCTCGTACAAAGCCAAGAAGAACGCATGAGCCCATAGGCTGTTGTCGGTGGCCCATTGGAGAGCCTCCTCGACATTTCCGCGCAGCACGTAACTGCGGAACTTATCCGTGGCGGCCAGTTCACCCAACACCTCACTGGATTGGGCGGCAGCGTTGCTTTTCACGCCAGCTTCGTCTTCAATTTCATTTTCGTCTTCATTTCCATCCTCAGCTGTGGACTGCACAGTCGAGGACGCCAATTGGACGCTGCGTGCGGACCCACCATCCGAATCATTGCCAGCACCTTCTGCAATCACAGCGTCTCCACCATCCAGTTCGCTGGAGGCGGCATCACTGCTACTTGGAGCGTAGGGATACTCCTTTTGATTCTCCAGCAGCAAATCTCCCACATCTGTGTCGGCAATCACCTGTAAATTGAGAAATTCTTTCATGAATAAATGAGTTCCAGAAGTGAGGACTGTGTATGACTGTGTAAGACGTGGAAGTAAAGAGCTAGGAATATTTTTTACTTACGCCATTTTGTCGGAGCAGCAGTATCAGGAAATGCCACATAAGGGCGTGCGAAGCGCGATATTTCTCGACGCTGCCGTGAGGCTTCTTCTGTGTGGCATAGAGCACGGTGCAGCTTCGCGTAGGACCCAAACGGATCTGTTCCTTGCAGAAATTGATGATCTTATCTTTGTGCAACTTGCGACCCTGCAATGGTCCAGGGTAAGCACGCAGCAGGCTGCTGGTGGCATCTTTGATGCGTGGAGCTGTCACCTCCACGTCGTGGCGCAACTTGCCGCGTCCTGCATATCGTGGCTTCACCTTTAGGAGCAGACTCATAGTATAGGAGGCCACCAGGTGGGGGAAATTGAAGAGAAGAGGGGTGCGCCGACGTGGCTGCTGCACCAAAGCGCTTGAATCCACCGGCATTCCCACTCCGAAGGTCGTTACAGGCGCTGCACTGTTCACTCCTCCTCTGTATATATGAGCGTAAAGAGATATCGGTTAGTCTCAAGTGTTAACTGTGGGGGGGATGAGGGTTTCCAGAAGCAAATAAACTCCATGCAAGGGTGGGTTAAAAACTGCATGCGGCTGAAACTTGACCGATGAAAAATTAAATTTAAAAAAATAAAACCAGCTGCACATTTTTAATCGCTTGCTTTGGACTTTTTACATCCTGTATCTAAAAAGTACAATGGTATATTCGACTTTTTTAATATCACATCGATCTTTGTTTGTATATATACAGCATATATTTTATAACGCTGGGTTTCCCAAAAACGTTCCCAAAATCAGACTTGAAAAAACTTGGACACAGTGGGGTTTACAAATAAAGCAAAAAAGAAAGGTCTTTCTTTTATTATATCCCATATATACCCATAAAGATCACATATCGAGTATCTGTACACAAAAATATATCTAATTGTAATCTTTTAATCCATTAGTTATTAAGAAGTCTTTACTTTCGATAACCTTTAAGTGATTTTGTATATATGTATATCTTTCATCTTTGCAGAGTTATTAATCAGAAGCAGACGACAATTACCCCTTTCGTGTTTTACTTCTATTTGTTTGAAAAAAAATTGTAACGCTGGCAAAATATTTTCTCTAAGCCCTTTTCACTACATTTGTTGCGATATCTTATCGTCATCAAATGTTTTCTTATACTGTCCCAATATAACATTATGATCAAAATATTTATAAAGCTGTCCTAATTCAAGAAACTTAAAAAGTATATGGAAAGCATATGCCTTAATTGAAGGTATAGTTAATGGACCAACCAGCAGTAGAACTTACAACCAAAGCAAAGAAGAAGAGAAAGGCAGACAGGGAGCGGGAAATCGGAGACTTTGGAGAGAAAGTTGAATCGGATGGTAATGAGAATTTCGGAAGGGACATGGTCTTCGAAAGCATAGAGAAACGCCGACACAGAGAGAGAGCGGGAGAGATGAAGACAGAGAGAGAAAGAGAGGGGAAGAATAGAGACAAATCTAACCAATTTTGAATTTGGAACCTGTAGATGTATAGCTAGAGCTGAAGAATTTTGAATGAAAGTGAGAGTGAGCTGATTTTGTTGGTGTTGGTTTTGTAAATGGGACCACCTGATATCGGCGCATTCCGAGCCAGCATAGTAGTAGTCGCCGCCGACGCCACCGAAGCTGCTGTTAAGATTGCTGAGGGAACGAGCACCCGTTAGCCCATAAGCTGCGGCCAATCTCAAGCGACTGCTGTGCGACTCACTGCCATATAGGCTGGCGCTGTCATCGGCCAGGGTCGAGTTTAATAAATCCAAGTAGTTCTGCTGTTGTTGCAAATTTTGTTGTTGTTGTTGTTGCTGCTGCTGCTGCTGTTGTTGTTGTTGCTGATACTGCTCAGTGTAATGATGACGATGGAATTCATTGGCTTGTGTTATGTATGCGTGTGTATACCTAAGGAGGAAGCATAGCGTTTCGGGTGGTTGTTGTTGGTGTCGGTGGTTGACATTGTTAGGAACGAAAACGAATGCACAGTTTTTAGATATTATTTGTTATTATTGCAAATGTTCTTTTCTTTTTCTTTGGTAGTATCAGATTTTGGAAGTTATGCGTATTTTATGATTAAAATTGTTTAAATTAGTAGAAGACAACAAACACAACAAGGTGAGCGAACGGGCGGAGGAGGTGTGGATGATTGGTGGTTGTACATCGAGGCATTGCAAGCGAGCGAGCAGACAATGTTTTTGGGGCTGGAGGGACTGGATGATGTATCTTTTTTTTTACATTTTATTGGGTTTTCAGTGTTAACACATTTAATAATCATTTTTATGTATTTCGTTCTTATCGGGGGACAACGTTATCAACACTACAATTAGCGTGCTAGTTAGAGATAAATAAATCTAGTCTGGCTGCCTAGTTACTGAAAAACAGATGGCTCTCTCCCTTTCGCTATAATCGTCAGAGTTAGCACTAAATAAACTAGGGTTACCACAAAGTTAATGGAAAATACGTTAACTACAACTAATAGAGAGCACTCTACTACAAACGGGAGAGAGAGCGAGAGAGGTTACAAGGGAGCAGCTATACATCCCGAAAAGCGTTAACAAGTTGAAATGATAGCAGAATAGAAACAGAAAGAGAAATAAATATATGCTGCGCTTATAAGAAGATTAAGAATCGTGATATCCTAGATATGTATCTACAATTATCTGGAGATTATATATCTATATATGTAGAAGATCTCACGATTCCCAGCGCTTTCACTTTAAACAATGAGCAGCATAGTAGGTTAATAGAAGGAGGTTGGGAGACTTACCGTTCGCGTTCTCTTAGCAACGCCGCCTCTCCAGTTAGGTGATGAGCTGCCGCCTGAGAGTCGATGACGCCTCCCGCACCACTGCTGGCACCACTGGCTGTCGCTGTTATTGGCGTGGCTACAGCGGCCTGCTGTGTATGACCCATGTTGGAAGCGGCAGCTGCATTTAATACCGCCATTGAGTTGATCATTTGGCCATAGATTGTGGCCATGTTGGCATAGACGCGAGGATCGCGCGAAATCTGTTCCATCATCATAGCGCCGTATGGATTGTAGGCACTATATTGGCCGTAGTTGCGACGTCTGTTGCTACCGCCACCACCGCCGCCGCCATTGGTGCGCTCCTTCTCCAGATCGCTGTTGCGCGAACTCTTGCGTCTATATTCCTCAAACTCACGCGGATCCCAATGACGCTGCTGCTCCTGTCGCCGGCGACGCTCTAGGGTGCTGTCATCGGCACGACGCGTGCGCTCGCCACCCTCGTGACTGCGTCGTCCATGGGTACCACCGTTTGTCCTGTCATGATCAGTCTTTCTCCTACTGCTCCCGTGCCTTTCGTGTCGTTCGTAGTAGTCCATGTCGGCTGGGCCACTACGTCGCTGTCGACTTGTTTTACTGCTGTGTCCACCACCATCGCCGGCACTCAAATTACCACTGCCAGCACCACTACCACCGACAGCTCCAGAGCCATCGAGGCCGCCATCTGACTCGCCCTCGTTGTTGTAGCGCGAGCGACGCTCGTAACGCTCGCTATTTTCCTCACCGCCGCTATGTTTTTGTGAACGACGCCGCCAATTTTGCTCCGGCTGCTCGTGGCCACGACTGCGTGGCTTGGCGCTCGAATCGTGACTACGCCGCTTAGTGTCACGTGTGGATTTGCTGTCGCTATGACCGCCAGTACCGCCTCCACCACCGCCACCGCGAACAGAGTCCTCGGTCTCGCCATCGTAGTTGTGGCTGCTGCCGTATTGGGAGCGTCTGTCACCACGGCTGCGTTGCTCGTGCTCTCGACGTGCCTCACGCCGATCACGTGCCCGTTCACTTTGCAGAAACTCATCGGATTCATCCTCGGACTCTAGCGATGGTGGCGGTTGACGTTCGTGGCTGCTGCGCTGCTTCGGACGCGCCGTCGGCTGCTGGAGCTGTGAGCGCGACTTTTTGTCCGCCTCCCGTCCTTCATCATTTCCGGTCAAATTGCTGATGCCACTGTTGCTGTTATTTGCATTTGTGTTGTGATGTTGGGTGGCGGTTGCCACATTTGTCAAATAGTGCGCGTCATTGGCGCCTGTTGTCAGCACGGATTGTGATCCTGTTTGTGCCACTGGTTGTGTGGCACTCTCCACGCTTACGGCCAGCTGATCGTCCAAATTCTCACCATCCAGCACCACCTCACGTTGCTCACCGGCCAGCGCCAGTGGCGGAGGCGTGCCAGTCATCAGACTACTCTCTGCTATTGTCTCCACACCGGGCACTACGCGACGAGTTTGTTGTACATTAGCATTGCTCTCGCCTGCAACCAGATACAGATTGCGATCGGCTGTTATGTTGGTGCTGCTGCTACTAATAGTAGTGGAGGTTACATCGGTGCCGCTGCCCCGCACCTGCAACTGCTCGCCGTCAGATGTATCCTCCCCATCGGCGTGACGCTCCTCCATGTGCAGGGCATTGACACCGCTTAGCGGTTGTTCCGTGCCCGTAACTTGGCGCTGCTGCTGCAATGTGTCTACCAGCTCGGGTTGACCCAACACCAAACGTGACAGTCCGGGAGGAGGTAATAGACTATCGGCCTCCCAATTGGCCGCCTCGCCTTCATGTTGCTCGGACAAATGGCTTGTCTGCAAATATTGTGCACGTTCGTCGTTAGGTGCCGCGAGCACCTCCTGGTTCTCGTACATCATTTCTGAATTATCTGGCGCTGCTGTAGCCTCAGGCGTTGCCACAATTGGCTGCAGTAAATGCTGTGTGGGTGCTGCACTGTACGCGGTGGCTTCGAAGGGTAATTTAGCCGGAGGTGGCAGTGGCCCCGAAGATCCACTGTTTGCTGTGGACAAGATGTTGACACGTTGCGGTTTGTTTGCGCCTCCTAGCTTGAAGGGATTCCCTGATGATCCAGCCACAACTGCACTCTCTGCTGTGGTTACCATAGGCGGTGGTGCAGGGTGATTTTGAAAGGCACGCGGCGGCACAATAGCGTCTAGCTCTGGCTCACCGGCTGCAGGTAACACGGGTGGCAGCAAGGGTGGTGGCAATTCCAAGCCAGATATATTATTATTGTTACTGTTGTGATACGGCCCCTGTGGACCTGCACCAATGGCAGCTGGAGTTGGAACTGGAGGTGGGCCCGCTAGGGCGTGCAATGGTACAGGAGCGGCCACGGCTGCAGTTGCAGACTCTGCCGTAGGCGGCATTGAGGCCTCTACATTGATGCCGCTACTGTTGTTGTTGCTAAAACTGTTTGCACCAAAAGCTTGCCAGCTGGCCTGGCCCTGGTTCACATTAAAAGCATCTTCAACTGCGTTGACTGCAGTGGCCTCACAATTATTGTTGTTGCCATAAGCGCTAGTGCTGATACTGTTGTTGTTGTTGTTCGCATTATCGTTCCAATCGCCCCAATCACCCCAGCCATCATTTCTGCTGCTGCTGTTGTTGTCAAACAAGTCCGTGGTGCCCGATGTTGTTGGCAACTGTTGTTGCTCTGGCTGATAGAAAGCATCAGTAACCTGTGGTGTTGGTGCCTGATAGAGCTGTTGTTGTTGCAGCACTTGTTGTTGCTGCTGTTGTGGCAGCACTTGTTGTTGCTGCTGTTGTGGCAGCACTTGTTGTTGCTGCTGTTGTGGCAGCTGGTGCTGCTGCTGTTGTGGTGTCAATTGCTGCAGCGATTGTGGGGCTGCAAAATAGTTGCTGTAATTTAGAGCCGCTTGCTGCTGTTCTGGCCAATGTTGTTGACCAACAACTGCTGTTGGTTGTTGAGAAAACATTTGCCTGCCATATAGCTGTTGTTGTTGCTGCTGCTGATTGTGTTGTTGCTGTGACAGTTGTTGTTGTTGCGGCGGCGGCGGCTGCTGCTGTTGTTGCCAATTTGCATTATTGTGCAACATATTCGGGCGCAGTGTTTAAAAATGCTGAAAGAAAACAAAAAATAGTTTATGATAAGAATAATTGATTAGCGGCTTTTAAGTCGATCCATTTTCCTTTCACATATTTTCGCTGCCTCTCTCCCATTTGACCAACTAATTTGTATCCCCTATAATTTGGTATTTGACATACCATAAAGCCAAGCTTGGGAGATAGGGCAGTGGGCTATAAAGTGACATAAGCGTTGGCTGTGTCTGCCGGTTCAATGAACGCGCCAAACTGGTTGCGATTATGTGGGTTTATTGATAGTAAGCTAGGGAAGGAGACACAGGCCATCTGTCTCTCTAAAGAACTTCAGCATAATTGTAATTTAGCACAATCAAAATCGTATAATGATCTGCTGTTTTTAGCTCTACACGTACATACTTATTTCCATACACCTGAACATATGTGTGTACAATATAGGCCATGAAAAAATAAAATGCATGTACATAGTTGTCAAAAAACAATAAAAAAAAAAATACACAAAAAAAAAACGCACGTACCAAGTACCCAGAGACCAGCGTTTAAAAAGTTTACGTGGACGTTTGGTTAGTGGCCCCCTCTTTTTTCTTATTCTTTTTCAACGGCGTTTCGCTGTTGTTGTTGTTGCTGCTTGACGCAGCAGGTTTTTTTTTGCAGCGGGATGAATGGCCACAGGGGAGCGCAAATGCAATTACTGCTGTTTATTTTCTTCACTTAAGATTATTTAGAATATGTATTTTAATGAACCTTTTCAACAGTATTGGCCTATGGTTTTTTTTTGTTTTTTTATAGCAATAAGTCAAAAGTGAAAACACATAAACTGGAGCGCCAAGAGCGAGACAAAAAAAGAGCGCAGGCGAGCGCTTAAGAGAGGTAAAATGTCACACACATACACAAACACAGCACAAGGAAAAAAATACACAGGGTTGCAATAAAAGGTGTACGTACGTACATATATGTGAGCTTCTGCATGTGCATGTGTGGGGGTTGGACAGGCAAAACGAAAATTACTTCAATATTTATCTGATCAGCAATAGATTTAACTAAAATTCACCACAAGTTATGTCAAACTCTTTTGAAAAAATAACAGCAGCCATATTCGAACACATACACATCCGCATGCACACAGTACGTGCGTTTGTACGTTGCTTATTTTCTAATTAGCTTAGAGGCAATTTGAAAGAAACTGTAACTTACACAAAAACTGCTGTCAAACTAAGCGCACAGTACACTTTCAGCTCGAAAACAAAACATTTACTTTTTTAATAATATATATGCGGTCGGGTCGTTTCTCGTTGTTTAATATGGAATTATAATTTGGAAAATGCCAACTCGACTTCACTCACACACAGCACTGAACAGCTGTCCTAGTGGTGGGAGCAGACTAACACTAACTATCGAGTATCGGTTGGTAACAAATGACAACAGTTTGGGAGTGCTGGAAAAATCAAGTGGCACCTTGCCAGATCATCAACATTGATAACCGCCAGTCTTAAAAATCACATATGTATGTATGATTAGTACTTACAGAAATTTTGAAAATAGTCTCACAACTGTTTCATTTCGCTTGAAGGTATGCTTAATTTAATTTTATTATTATTGGCTTTTTATCTTATGTTCAGTGCTCCAGAAAAATAAGTTTGCTGAAAATTGTGAAAAGTTGCAATTTCATGAATGTGTTATTTAATTTTCTTGAAATTTACATTTGTATAATAAGACAGAGCTTATGGTAAATTATTGTTTCATAAATAATTCATTGAACTATGGTATACAGATACAGATAGGGTTTTTAAATATTAAGAACTGTGCGCCTATGTACTATGTATGTATGCCTATGTGGAAGCGCATTTCCTATAAAATGTGGAAAAGATGTTTATGTTTAGTTCTTTTTATACAACATTTGGATGAATTGAAGAATATAAATACAAAGGTTACGCCCGGACGTTACTTAATACATATGAGTATGGATACAAGAAATTATTTATTTAATTCATAAAACTTATATAAGTATGTATGTATGTATATGCAGTGTTGCCAATTGTGCTAAATGTATGTAGGTACAATACTTATTAATATTTAATTGCTGTTGCTGCCACTCGTTAATTATATTTTTATATTTCTTGTTGATGTCGTGGTCTATGTTTATTCAAATGCAATGCGTTTCTGATTAATTTGTTTGTTTGCTTCAGCATGGCATGTACATTTGTATTTATTTATAACTTTTCTTAGATCAGTCGTTCGTAAAAAAATACTTAAGAGTAAGTATGCGCTTGATTTCGCATAAATGATTTAGAAGGCGTGGGTTTATCGACTTGAGCATAGTAACTGTAGTTTCCTGCATTGGATTACATTCATACATGCATACAATGTACATACATTCTTATGGACAAATTTTTGTGTATGTTTGTACATATGTATGTATGAATGTTTGTTGTTCGTTCACGCACAGTTGGCAGCAAATTGTGTTAAGGGCGCCTGTTTTTTGTTGTGTATAAGTAAATAATTGTACATAAAATACTTTATGAATACTTTTTCTGTTCTTCGTCTTCTCCGCCTGTCTCCCTTTCTCTTTAGCATTTTCCTAGTATGAAGTGTTGGAATGCGTGTGTGTGCGTAAGTAATTAAATCTTATATTGTAATTATCTAATAGAAGGCTGCAATTTTAGCTCCTTTTTTATTGGCCACATGATCTAGCACACAAATCGGGGAATGTCTTTAAATTGTCTGTGTTGTAGTTGTTGCTGTTATCAGCCAACAACCAACCAAAAGATAGAGTAATTAAATAAAGGCAACAAAAACTAACATTAAGTGTTTGGGAGGAATGCGTGCAAAAGAGATGGCACGTCTTTCTACTCTTCGCTGTGTGTTAGAATGAGAGTGCCTGGAAACTAAATAAATGGATGAAAAGTACTTAATATATGTACAAATGTATGTTGTATATATGTAAGAAGTACTCCATAAACATTCAAAAATGATCTTCCGAATCTCAATGATGCATTGCTGAATGATCCTTGTTAAGTACAGTGATAGTCTCGCGGAAAATGCAGAATTATTGCAATATGTGTGTATGTTTCTATTAACATAATTAAGATTAGAGCTGCTATTATGGAGGACGTTGCATTGCTGCATTTTCTTAGATCTACTACCTACAAATCGCAGCTCTCACTAATTGGTCACCTCTTCCCACTCACCAGTCTACGTTCAGAGTGAATTGCGCGAGCCACGTCCACCACCGCCTACTGGACCACCACCGGAACGATTGTGACGACGCTTGTGTAGATAAAGGCCAGCGGCTTGAGCGAAAGCAGATCCGCATATCTGACAAATATAACGCTTGATCTTGTCGTGGATTTGCTTGTGATTCTGTAGATTCTTTGTGGACTTAAAGGTCTTTCCGCAAATGTCGCATTTAAACTCTTCACTGTTGTAGTGCTGCTTCAGGTGATCGAAGAGATTGTGGCGCGACATGAACGACTTGTTGCACTGTGGATAGTCGCACTTATAGGTACGCTCCCGATCATCTTGATGCACAATCATGTGGGCGTTCAAATGTCCGGGCGAGGCAAAGGAGCGATGGCACACCTCGCAGGGAAATGGTTTCGGTGGCTCGGACATGTACATCTCGTTGAGCGCAGAAGGATTCTCATCGTCGCCAACGACTTGATTGGGAGTTTCCCCGCTGTTGCTCATGGCCAGGGAGGGCAACAATAGCTCCTCATTGTGGCGACGAACATGCTCATCGTAGTTGGATTTCTCGCGGAAGCTTGCAGTGCACAGCTCACAGTTGAACTTAATCTCGCTGCTCGAGTTCCCGTGCATGTGCTTGTGATTGTCGAACTCGCCGGCTGTATGAAATTGTATTTTGCATAAATTGCAATAGTAGCCTCCTCCAAAGCTGGGCTGATGGACGTGCAGATCGAGTTCTCGTAACGTCTGAAGGATCTCTGGACACTGCTGGCACTTAAAGGGCGGTATGTCGTCATCCATGAAATGCATTTGATCATAGTAGATGTAGTTCGGTATAAATTTGCGACCTATACGCTCGCAGTTTAGACGTTCCACCTTCTGCTTAGAGTAATCAAAACGCAGCTGTGAGATACGCTTGGAGATCTGTATAGTTGTGACATCGATCATCTGCTGCAGCTCCAGGGCCATCTGTTGCAGGCCTTCGCCACGTCGCTCTTTGCTGCGATAGTCCGGATCGAAACGGTTGTAGAAGCATTGATAACGTTTCACCATACTCAGCAATTTTGCTGTTGAAGTGTCATTCCAAATGGCTGAAAAGCGGCGACGGTATGAGGTTTCCTGTAGAGGTAGATAAACAGAACGGTTAGAATAAACAAATAATGGTGCTTGGCAACCGATTTTGTTTATGCCAAGTTTCACGTTTAGGGTAAGCAGACGGGTTTCGGATTTCACGAGTCTTCCCCATTACCTTGACAACCGCATCGGACATTTTTGAATTGTAGCTGTAGACCTCGTTGAGGAAATGCAGCTCTTTGAAATACCACAACGTGCTGATGTTGGTCTTTTCCAGAGCCATGCGATTGCACTCACGCTTGTAGACAGTTCGTAAATTGTCCCACTTTCGAGTAATGGCGTCCTTTGCTAGTGAAATGTTGAAGCGACTCGTAAACTCCAGCACAATCCAGTCAAGGAAGCGGCCACGCTTGACGCGATCGCGGAACTGAGCGTGGCTGTGATCCCATAGGAAGGGATTGCGTTTGTAAGATTGTATAAGGAATTGTATCATTTTGCGATCCTTTATGTGCATGGTCAGCTCCCTGTCGCGCTGTGAACCCAAGCCAAAGATGAGATATAAGTCAACTTATGATCAACTGTTAGTCGTCCATTACTCACCCCTAACAGCGATTCTTCGACCATTTCGTCATAGTCGTTGTGGGTACCAGAGTTGTTGGAGGTGCCGTAGTTGTTGTATTCGGCATAATCGCCGGAATTATCATCCATATAGCTTTGATCACCATCACCATCTACAGATGAGTCGCCGTCTCCACGCAAAGAGTCGTTTGGATAAAAGTGTCTGTCGGCCGATGGTTGGGACGGTGGAGCCGAGACATTTAGGCGCGCGCTCCCTGGGGGTATGGTAGTTTCGGGCAGTATTACTTCATCATCATTGTCATCGTCAACATCATGATCTGGCACAACAGCCTCGTCACTGCTGTTGTCTAGCTCGCTAATCTCCTGCTTGATAACCATCTGGGGCACTAGTAGCGCAGTATCCGCATCGGTCAAGTCTTCGATCTCATCAAAGTTTGTGTCATCATTATCACCAGCCTCGTCGGTGTCCATCTCCACCCCCATATTGAAACGGAGACCACGGTCATGGTCATGATGCTGCTGTTGTGAAACATCTTCCAGATGCATCGTCTGCATGTGGCCAATAAATGCATCGAAGTATTGAAATTTGGCGCTGCAGGAAGCGCAACGTAGGGCAAAATACTGAAAATCCTCGGTGGCCGATACAATACCACAATCCTTTGTGCAGTGACGAAAAATCTCCTCTTCATTTGTACGCGGATATGCCAACACACTCATCGTGCTGCACGCCTGTTTATTTATGTGTGCAATTCAGAACTCGATTTAAACGCGTTGCGTTTCTAGCTTGCGGCAGAGAAGCACTGCACCACTCACTTCAGATGCTGCTTTTTTTCTAACGCAATCCTTTCCAAAAAAAAAACTATTGCCGTCGCCGATTTAGTTTCGTTCGTGATAGTGGTGTGCATTAAACGCATAATTACTACTAGCCTTGCTATCGATTGCACACTTGTATGTTTGTGGTGTTTCTATCGATGCACGATTTTCTATTAAGCCTATTCACGGCAGCGAGATATCGATATACACACCATTATTTGTTCGACGTTCGGCGGCGCGTGTTGTATTTACAGATTTCTTGCGTTTGTTCATCATTAATTAATTGAAAGTAGAATAAAATATATTGTTGTGTGAGAAACAATGGCTTCGATTAGCTTGTTAAACCCAAAGGCTGAATTTGCGCGCGCCGCACAGGCTCTTTCCATCAACATCAGCGCCGCCAAGGGCCTGCAGGATGTGATGCGTACCAATTTGGGGCCGAAGGGCACAGTGAAAATGTAAGTTATTAAAATCCTGGTGCACCTCATTACAGTTTGCAATGCAATTGCACTGGTGTTAGTATAATTATTAACAATTTTTCGACAGCTGTCGTGCCGCATGTGTGAGGTTAGAATCGAATTGCAATCAGCGGCATGCGTCATGCGTGCGAGTGAGATAGCATTAGGCTAATAAGAGTTTGTAAAAACTTAAACAAATGGCATTTGTTTTAAAGAATGACCGCAATTAGATGGGCTAGCTAAGCAATTTGTTTTTCTATCTGTCGATTTATGCTGCCAGCACAGCAAAATTGCAATTCTTTTCATGTTTTTACAACTGACGCACCTCACGAGACTCGGCCCAAGAAACACATGCGCACACACACACCGATGCATACTTATTAATTTTGTTTGGGTTCTCGAACATTCGCAGGTTGGTCTCTGGCGGCGGCGACATCAAGATCACCAAGGATGGTAATGTTCTATTGCATGAAATGCAGATTCAACATCCCACTGCATCGATGATTGCACGCGCCAGCACTGCCCAGGATGATTCCACTGGTGATGGCACCACCTCGACGGTGATGCTGATTGGTGAGCTGCTGAAACAAGCTGATCTCTATCTGTGCGAGGGCTTGCATCCACGCATTATGACCGAAGGCTTTGAGAAGGCACGCGACAAGGCACTGGAGGTTCTTGAGGCGGTCAAGGTGCCTGTCGAGATCAACAAAAAGACTCTCACAGAAGTGGCCAACACAAGCTTGAAGACTAAAGTGCATCCAGCGCTCGCCAATTTACTGACCAGCGTGTGCGTAGATGCCGTCATGACCATCAGCAATGAGAAGCAGCTACCTGTTGATCTGCACATGGTCGAATTGATGGAGATGCAGCATAAGACCGATACGGACACGCAGCTGGTGCGTGGCCTGGTCATGGACCATGGTGCACGTCACCCTGACATGCCCAAGCGTCTGGAGAAAGCTTACATCCTGACTGCCAATGTGTCGCTGGAGTACGAGAAGGCCGAAGTGAACTCTGGTTTCTTTTACAAGACCGCCGTGGAGCGTGAAGCGTTTGTGCGTGCTGAGCGCGAGTTCATCGACCAGCGCGTAAAGAAGGTTATTGAGTTGAAACGTCAGGTGTGCGATGGCACCGACAAAACATTCGTCTTGATTAACCAGAAGGGCATCGATCCCATGTCCCTGGATGCCTTGGCCAAGGAAGGCATCCTGGCTCTGCGTCGTGCCAAGCGCCGCAACATGGAGCGTTTAGCTTTAGCCTGCGGTGGCACGGCTATGAACTCGTTCGACGATCTGCAGGAGGAACATCTGGGCTATGCTGGCGTTGTTTACGAGCATGTGCTTGGTGAGAACAAATACACGTTTGTCGAGGACTGCAAAAATCCGATGTCGGTGACCATTCTGATCAAGGGGCCCAATAAGCACACCATCACTCAGATCAAGGACGCCATTCGCGATGGTCTGCGTGCAATCAACAATACGATTGCAGACAAGGCGTTGGTACCCGGCGCTGGCGCTTTTGAGATTCGTGCCTATAATGAGCTTACCAAGTACAAGGACACAATTAAGGGCAAGGCTCGCCTTGGCGTGCAGGCCTTTGCTGATGCACTGTTGGTGGTGCCCAAAACATTGGCCATAAACAGTGGCTACGATGCACAAGAGACCATTGTTAAGTTGACGGAAGAAGATCGCCTGAATCCCGAATTGGTGGGTCTAGATCTGAGCACAGGTGAGCCCATGAAACCTGTCGATATGGGTGTTTACGACAACTACATTGTGAAGAAGCAGATCCTCAACTCCTGCTCGATTATTGCCAGCAATTTGTTACTGGTCGACGAAGTGATGCGCGCGGGCATGACGAGCCTCAAGGGCTAGTGTTGAACTTTCCATCTCGCACAACATAACTTATTATTAACCAAGTTGTCTCACACACATAAACACACACACACAAGTCACACACACATTTAAACGGATATATGTAACTAACAAAAAAAATTCAATATCGCGCTCTGTATTCGATCCCCAAACAACGCTGAAGAACAACAAATGGATAGAATGGTTCAACTTAATATGTGCTCTTTCTTTTTTTATACATAAAGAACCTTAACACTAATAATTACTTAATACAGAACCATTGGTTTAAAAAAAATATATATGATAAACTTTAAACAAGTTTTTTTTTTAAACTACAGAGTGGGAAAAAGAATTCACAGTAATTCGTCCAATCCGGTATATAACACATGTTTGTTAGGCGCTTCACGATACGCAGCTTAGGAACTCAGACACCGCGTTCTTTAAGGAATTGCTCTACCGAAAATTAGTCGTCCTAACATTTATAGCTTGATGGTCGCCCCCAGAGTCTGTCTTTGCGCATGCAACGCTGCATTTGCCTTTTTCGTCGGGGGTGCCAGAATCAAACAGGCGTTGGAGAGGGACTTGACCAGGTCGGCATGCCGAAGGAACTCATGTCGGAGCAGTTCCTGGGCGCCAGGTCTGCTTGGCGGGTGCAGTTGGAGCAGCTGGCTGATCATATTGGAGGCGGCCGGACTCATCTCACAGCTAAGGACGTATTCGGCTGCCCTTACTTTGCGTATGGTGCCCTCCAGGGTTTCAGAATCAAATGGCGGCTTGCCGTGCAACAGTTCGTAGAGTACACAACCGATGGCCCAGATGTCCACCTCTAGGGAGTAACCCTCGCCGCTGAGCACCTCGGGCGCCGTGTAGTCTGGTGTTCCGCACTGCATCTGCTTCCGTTCTCCCGCATGGGACAGGTGCGTGGCCAAACCGAAGTCGCCGATCTTTAGCTGCATGTGTTCGTCTAGGAGAAGGTTCTCCTGCTTCAGATCCCGGTGAATGATGCGGTAGTCGTGTAGATACTGAACGCCCAGAACCAGTTGATGAATGAAGTATCGGCATTCGTATTCAGTCAACGATTTGCGGCGCTGGAGAAGTCCGCGCAGCGACCCTCTGGAGCAGAGTTCGAGCAGTATGTAGATGCGGTCCGCGTCCTCAAAGAAACTCTCGAAACGGACAATATGCGGATGTTTGAGATGGCGCTGGACAGTGATCTCTCTGGCTGCCATTTCGGTGGGCGTGTAAAGGGTGCTGATGTGCAGCCGCTTTGAGATGATCTTGGCGGCATAGTCTTGACCTGTGGCCACGTCGACGAGCTTGTAGCAGCGTCCGAAGGTGCCGCGACCCAACAGCTGGCCGGTGTGAAAGCGACGACAATCGTTGGCATCGTACAGCACATCCGGCAACTCAATATCAGCCTCTGGTGCACTGCGTCGGCTCTGTTCCACTGGTACTGCCGCTCCTACTACGGCTGCCACACCTGTCTGCCTTCCTGGCCTGTGTGTCTGTGTGCGTTTGCTGTCCAGTTCCGGCGGACAGCAAATGAGAACTTTCAGCTTGCTGAGCATATCTGTCGATGCTCCTCCTGCTACCGAAAGGGAGCTCTGGCCCACTGTAGCTCTGTGTGCATACTGAGCCTGGCGGCGGATGAATGGCGTCACCATGACGGGCACGACCAGTAGCAGTGCGTCATTGGTGCCAGGCACCTGGTCTAATCGCTCGATAATGACTCAGCATCCATGGCAGTTGTTTTTCGCTCGCTTGCCGGCCAACTGGACCGGCTGGCCAAGCAAGTAGCTGGCAGTGCTTGTTCGCGTACATTGCCACAAGGTTTACCCTCGTTCATTCTGGCTGGCATTTCAATTGTGGGTAGGCGCTGATGGCGCTCCGCCGCCGTCAGCCTTTGACAGATGCGAAACGCATAACAAATTCGGCTTTGACTATTTTCGTAGCACCGTAACGCTTCGTTTGAATTATGCAAATTTTAGCGCTGAGGGGCCGCCTTGGGTTGCTGTAGGCGTTGGCGGTGCCAAGGGCCAATGGCCACATTGCGCCCACTTCAAAGCAACAGCTTCCTTCCGCCCTGGACGCCTTGAACACTGCCGAGTGAAAAAGGCTTAGACCATCTGACAGCCCACAGAATATCCATGGATGGGGACATCGACACACACGCACACACACTTGACTGCACAGCCAGGCGACAAAGTTGACTCGGTCTATAAGAATTCGGGGCACGCCCTTCTACAAGTAGAATGGCAAGTGGAATAAGAAGAATCCATACCACCTACATACTTGTATGTATATAACAGCCCTAGGTATGCGTACATCTACTTACATCAAGAGTAAGAAGAGCCTGCAATGAAGTTGTAAGTGTGTCTGAATGAAACGCCGATGGGTTGTTAAATAAATGTTTTGTTTGTCTACAGATATAACTATTCGGATAAATTAAAAAATTGAAAGTAATTATGGTTTCATAAACAAGCAGATATTTATAGCATCAAGATAAAAAAAAACCAAAAGAATCTGTTGTCGTTTTAAATGAAGAAAGAAGTTGATTATCATGCCTTGAGCCGAACAAGAATGGAGTGTAAGACAGGCGGATATTGTAGCATCATCTCTTCATACTGCTCTAGAACATGTGGGATCTGGGACCCCTTCTTCTGAGCACTCTTTGGGTACAGAGTATACCAAATGCATGGTAAAAAATTCTCTTTTTGAAGCAGAACCGAAAGCTCAGTGTCCAAAATAGACCTCAAAATAGAACTATGGGCAGACCGCTGTACTTTTGAGAAAGCTGCTTTCTAAAAACAAGTCCAGGTAAAGCCTAGAAATAAGGAAAATATTTTTAAGAATAAAAAAAAGGTGTATGTATTGTATTTTCTTAAACCAATAGTTTCCTAAAGCTGCAAATATTTATGGGACCACAAAACACAAGTAATTTGTATATTTTAAATTGCATACAAGTTGGTTACTCTTGTGAAACAACTTACTAATTCTTCTTCTGTCGTTTCTGAAAAGACAGAAATAACAATCTTTGTTTATTGATAGATACTATAAAAACATGTTTTCCAAACATTCGTTTAACAAAATTAAAACTAGTTGTAAATATTGGGCGTACATAACAAAAGCACATCTCTCTGCTTTAGAGATATAAAAACAAGTAGCTTGTAATTGAAGTTAAAGCTGTGAGGATTCACTCTCAGCCCAAAAGTGCTCGGCAACTTTCCAATGAAATGAGGCTCAATCCTTTGATTGGACATACGAACTTCTGAGTGTATGTCGCCTGGTTGGGCGCTGCCCGTGGATAAAATGTCTGAAAGGATTTTTCATGTGTGCGACGGTGTACGGAAATTGATATTGAAATGAGCATGATAATGAGCTTGAAATTTGTTTTGGCATTCCAGCCCATTTCACAAGCACAAATGCAAACCCAGACACACTTAGATAAGTGTATGGCTCTGTGCGTGTGTATTTGTGTTTGGCCATAAACTATTTTGTATTTAAATTGTGTTGAAAATGTATTTCATTTTGTTGAAAATCCATTTTAGGGGGCACCTTCAGTTCTTTCAACTTTGATTTGTGCAATGTCTGAGCGGGTATGTGTGTGTGTGTGTGTGTATTTGTGTATTTTGACTACGATTTATGTGCTTAACATTTGTTAGACTTCTGCTTGCCGTTGTTCATTCCATCATCGCCTTCTCGTTGCCTTACCTGTGGCCTATAAATGTGTCTGAGCACTTTTGTCTTTCTTTCTTTCTTTCTTTCTATTTTTTATCGCATTTCTAAATTGATGTCGCTACATGGCATAATATAAATGGCTGGACATTTTATATGGTTGTGCCCTTCTGGCTGTTTGTTAACCCGCCTCCCACGGGTTGAGATTTTTAAGTAATGCAAATTTTTATTGCATACGCACAGGCGCTGGCCAAGAATCGTAAATTAAGCGAATAGGCGGCGAAAAGTTTCCAAAGCTTCTAGTCTTTCACTTCATTAACAATTTGTCGTCTGAGGGACCCCCTTCCATTCCGCCATCATGCAACCACCATTCTGTTTTGGCTTTTTGGGGGCGACTTCGGGGCGACTTAAACGAATTTGTCAACATTTTTGTGCAACTTTCTTAGTTTAATTAATTTTAAAGCTTTCGCGCCAAGTTTTTCAGGGCTTGCCCTTGGCTGGTCTGGCTCTGTTGGCTCGGTTTCATGATTTGAAAGTGGCTCGCGGCACAAAAATTGAAATTGATTTTTATTTGCTTATTTGATTTATGCGCTTAACAAACCAGCAGGCTGCGAGGCAGGCTCCAACAAATGTAAATAAATTAGAGCAAAAAGGATTAAGCTACAAATAAAAAGGAATAAAATGTGAAAGACTGAGGCCACACTTGCTTGGGATATTTGGAATGGGTGCCCATTTCCATTCCCATGCCCATTTCCATGCCCATGCCTGGGCCCCAACTCGGGCTTGGGCCCCATCCTGCAACCGCTATAAATCATTCATTTCCGTGCGGCAGCCAAAAAAAAAAAAAGAGGGCAACAAGTTGCATCGAACATTTCATACTCTCCAAAAAGAATGTTGAGAATGTCTTAAGAATCAACATATCGGTCGATTGATTCTGAATGCCACATACAATCCGATTTTTATAGTGCAAACAATTCGCTGCTCTACAAAACAATACAAGTATATAGCATATACATGAATGAAATGAAATTATATCGCTTAGTTTTAATCTGTTTTAGCGCTATTTTTGATTTCTTTCTAGCAGCCGTCAAATCATTAAACAAAGAAATACATCTTTACATTTGCTTTAAACTTAAGAAATAAACTGCTTACACTTATAAAGCCAACTTGAAGAGATCGACAATATCGATTTTTGAAAGAAAAATCCAAATAGAATCCAGTTTTTTATGTTGCATTATTTTACTAATCTGTAATAATTATATGAACTTAGATAGACAGCAAAAATGAAAATATGTTTTTAATAATTCGTAAATTTCGACTTTTTAATTGCAAGATTGGGGCACAATAGTATGAATAGACGGACAGATATGATGAATTGTTGAAGAGATCTCTAGTCCTGCATTAGTTATACTTGGAGCTCTGAAACAAAAGCACATTTCTTTATAATTATCGTGCTCGATGCACAAATATCGTTAGCAAAAAGCTAGAAATTTGTATTAACTAGGACCTCCTTGAATGTGCATTACAAACATCAGGCTGAAGTGTAAATAGCCTGTGCGTGGTAGGGTATGGGCAAAGGGAGTTGGAAAATGAGGAAAACGCGAGGCAAATAATTTCTTATTTAATTTATACGCCGCTGCCTGCTTTGTGACGCGCTATTTGCTTGTGTGTCTCTGATGCTTTCTTTTTGAACTGCCAAATGAAATTGCAGATAATTTGTGAGTGGGCGGAAATGACACAAATTGCAGGCAAATTGCTTGAAAATTGGAAAACGGTGAAAAGGAAAGGCAACTTTCAGGCAGACAACCAATGTTGAAAATATTTTCGACGGCTCCTTCTATATTTTAGTTTCATTTTCTTACTCAACCCCAGGGCTGGTTATATGGAATTGGCTGGTGGGGGCTGGTGGGTGGAATATGGCGGATTTTAGGGTGTGGTACTAATGTCAGTTGAATACGTATATGTTGCGTGCAAATGGCTTTCCACATGCAAAAATGTTGCTCGCTGCAACAACAATAATAATAATATACTATGTATATGAAGCATGCAACAAGCATATATTGTTATTGTTGTCGCGTAATTTATTTTGTAACTGTTAGTCGGCTTCACGTTCTTAGATATATACCTACATATATGTGTGCGAGCCTTCAACACATGCACATGCAATTGCAGCTTTCATCTAGTAAGTTATTGATTTTGAAGCATGCCCGCAAATCGATCATTTCATTTGAAAATATATCCTTTCATAATTGAGGGTTAGTTACGGTTGCATTTGGTATAGACTCTATACTCTATACTATAGAGCATAGCTTGCCGGACTGGCTTTCAAAATTTCACCCACCGTGTTGGAGATTTCCCTTTTACTCTTTCTCTTTATGCATAATTAGTTCTTAAGTAGAATTACTTTTCTTTCTGTAATTACTATTTCTTATAGCCTGTTAGGTGTATAAGTTCTCTGACCACATATGACTGTGATTCGGGGCATAGCTGACCAAATGGCAAATGAAATTCCCCCAACGCGTCGGAGGCATTAGTAGACGTTATTGTATAGTTTTTTCTTAGGCTTTCTTCTCTTTTAAGTTGAAATTATAACGTTGTGTTATTAGATATCTTTATTTTATTTTATAATATTATATGATAATATAAATCATAGTTTTCGTATATGTATCGACAGCACTATTTGTTGTTTTTTTTAAACAAATAAATGGAGTCGAGTGCCTATTTATGTAAGAAAAGCGAATTAAACACAGCTTTTGGGGACTGATCGATGTTGGTAGAAAAGGTTGGACTTCTATGAAAATAGAGAGAGGCATTCGGTGGAATTGCTCGAATGAGGTAGATCCATCTAGACTACTAGCCATAATAACAGCTTACAAATGCTATTCCCTTAGCCTATACTTGTACTTAAGTTTCTAGAAGAGGACAGAGAATAAATCGTTCCTAAGAGCAAAAGCGACTTTATTTATTTCTCAGTGATTGTTCTCCTGTA